ATACAAATACGAGCACCTTTGGAGTTGGTTTGGCAAATAGTGAAAGGTAATGATGAGAAAAAAACATTTTTTTTAAATTGAATTTAAAATAATCTGAAAGCCACACATTTTGTATAGCAAAAAAATTACAATGTTTATTATTAAAATTTTGTATGTAAATATTAAAGGTAAATTTCTTTAAATTAAATAAAAATAGCACAGCTTGAATATTTTTTTTATTAAAAAAATTAAGTGAGTGGCGAAGCAAACATTTTTTATACCAAAAAAAACAAAATTCTGTAACATTTTATTGCAAAAAAAAGGTAAACAATTTTGTAAAAAAAATTTAAATATAATTATATATGCCGAAATAAATAAATATATAAGAAAAATTTTAATTTCATTAAAAAAATATTGGAACATTTTTAATTGTAAATCGAAAGCTTATTTCGAAATAAAACGACTTCTTTCGATAAAAAATTTTAAGAGCTTTTATAGCACAATAAAATAAAATTTTATTTTACTCAACCCATTTCTAAGAAAAATGTGAGCCCAGCTGATAACAGTGCCTAATGTTTGTTGTGAGGAATTTCGCACTTTACTTAAGTTTATATATTGCATGTTATATGGTGAATTTTCATGTTCAATGTAAATATGTCAATTTCGATTTTGAAAATTAAAATTAAAACACAAGGTAACTATAAAATTTATTTGGGTGAAAACAGAAAATTTAAGACACAAACCAGACTTTACATACACATATGCAGATGTATGTATACATAGATTCATTATCCTTTTTTTCCGATAAAATAAAATTCCAAGTTGTCCCTTATTGCCGTCAAATTGTATTAGTTTTGCTTACAGTATTAATTGCCGACCGCATTTGCCGAGTGGATAGCATTGCCATGCGGAAGGCCAGGAGTGCGAGTCCTGGTTCGACCAACTTCGGAAAGTAAAGAAACTTCATTTTTCTAATTGCGGTTGCCCCTCGGCAGGGAATGTCAGACCCTTCGAGTGTATTTTTGACATGTGATAAAAGCTCCCTATTAAAATCCAGTCATCTGTTAGAAAATCATCTAGATATATACCAAAAATTGGAGGAGGAATTTGTCGAAAGTTCAGTGATTATAAAGCGTCAATTGTATACACATACATATGTATATAGAATAATTATAAATAAAAAAATATATTTATCATCTGAAATTCGATGTTTTATGTAATACTGCTATTTTGGTAGAAGGACGATGAAAATATCAAAAGACAATCCATAAACACCTTTTTTATTACGATTAAACGAAAAATATGGTTTTAGGGCTTATTATGTTGTGTGATGAAGGCTGAATGTAGTAAGGGTGGATTTTCAAATTTTTTGTTGATGAGTTATGGAATGAAAATATATTGCCCGATTCCGCTGGATGCGTTTGAGAGTGGCGCTCGTGAAAGAAATATATACATATAATATATCGTTGGAAAGGTGACAGTCCGAACTGTAAAGCAAGCATAAAATAACTTCATTTTGATTTGAGTGGCTTAGTGAAAACACGCATGGAAGATGGCAAACGAAAAAGATCATATGCGTCATATTATGTTATACGAATTCCGCAAAAGAAAAACAGTAGACGCTGCAACTAAAGATATTCGCTTATTTGGACCGTGCTCCAGCACTCCGCACAGTAAAGAAATGGTTCGCGAAATTTCGTTCTGGAGATTTTAACCTCGGAGATCAACCTCGTAGTGGACGGCCTTCTGAGCTTGATGACGATGTTCTAAGGACTTTAGTTGCGAATAACTCACGTATTTCGACGGAAGAGGTTGCCAGTGAATTGAACGTCAACAAATCAACTGCGTTTCGTCGTTTAAAAAAGGTTGGGTACACTTTGATGCTCGATACATGGGTGCCACATCAGTTGAGTGAAAAATACAAAGTGGACCGTATGTCAACAGCAATTTCTTTGCTTCGACGGATCAAAAACGAACCTTTTTTGGATCGGCTCGTGACTGGTGATGAAAAATGGATCCTGTACAACAATGTCCAACGCAAAAGAACATGGAAACAGGCACACGAAGGGGCGGAACCGATGTCGAAAGGTGGATTGCATCCGATGAAGGTACTGCTGTGCATTTGGTGGTATATCCGAGGCGTGCTCTATTTTGAGCTCTTTTCCATCATGACAACGCCAGGCCACATGTTGCAAAACCGACCCTGAGCAAACTAAAGGAGATGAATTGGGAAATCATGCCGCATCCCCCATATTCACCCGACATTGCACCTTCTGATTATCATTTGTTTCGATTGCTGCAGAACAATTTGAATGGAAAAAAATTTAAAAATGTGGAAGACGTCAAAAACCACCTTGACACCTTTTTCAACTAGAACCGCGCGATTTCTATGAATCAGGCATCCGTAAATTGGTTGAACGTTTCGAGTGGATTGCCGAACATGATGGCGAATACATAATTGATTAATAAAAGCGCTTTCTTCAAAAAATTTCAATTTGAGTTTGCACTTGAAATCGGGCACGAACTTATGCACTCATCCAATATTATAAATCAAGGTTTATGGAATAAACGGCATTATCAAACCAACTTCGTCATATTTATAATGGGCGAAACTTTATATTTATATTATAAAAAAAGATTTATTTTGTTTAAAAAATATATACACCTATGTATATATGTGAACCTAACGACATTAAAATGGGGAGAATATTCCGAAATATAAACTAAAAACATTTATATCGGGGAAAACATTAATTTTTTTAATGCAATTTTACTTTCCTGTACTTATATTCAACTTTTCGATGAATTCACCTTTTCTAAATACACATTTTTTTTTGGCAATATTGACATCAACCATTTCTCAAAGGTGCGTTCGCTTAGAATTTTGATAATTTCGAACGTTCTTAACAAATATTATGGGTGCTATCTGTAAAAATTGTTGTTCAAAAATAATAATAATTCTTATTATTTAAATATTTTTGAAATTTTTTTTTTTCAACAAAAAGCTACTTAGCACATATTTAATTCAAATTATTATTGATTTTAAAAGAGTACAATGCGAGCCTTTAGATAGTGAAAATAATACGATATTTTATAGATGAAATTTATTTTTAAGATGAGTTTTATTTTTAAGACTGGCAACCCACAAAAATGAGCCAACTTCGGTATTGAACATATGATTTTTCTGTTGGCGCAACCTTATTCTCTGTAAACCTTGATTATAAATTTTATTATTTACATATGTACATAATACATAAATATGTACATATGATTAAATTATGTCAAATTTAAACAATTGAAAGTTAATACACGCATATGAGGTTCGTTCAAAAAAAAATATGGCAAATTTTTGAATTTAGCTGACAAATAAAAATAGGTGCTCAAAACCATTTGAAAGTTTTTAAAGTGTCGCGAGCGTATTCTGAGTCAATCAGAAAAATGCTAAAAATTGCTACAGGCATTTCAAAACAAGTCGAGAAGTGGTGAAAGACGCCTTTATCGCCACAAAACATCAAAAACTTATGGAAATTTTGGGAGAGTGAATAAAGTTTTATAGAGAATCCTCGAAAGACTTTCAAAAAAGTTGCTGATAATGTCGGAATATCAGTTGGCTCATACAATGCAGCCATTCTCGGAATGTTTGGACATTAGGCGTGTAGCAGTGAAGCCTTTTATACTTTTCATGTACACGAAATGGTTTATTATTAACTTTGGACCGAGGTATATAAGTACCAGAAGGAGAAGTGACAGACCCATTGGAATTAATACCGATAAGATCAGAATGACGAGTTGTGTAAATTTAGCCATGTCTGTCAAGTCATAGCCGAAGACTGGCAGTTCTAGGGTAAACCATCCAAACCAGTGCATAATTGTCCCAAACGTGAGAAACGTAAACGGAAAAAAACTCTTCGGGTCAAAGTGTTTCTTATTGTCTGCTTCGATTATCAAGGGATAATGCGTCAGCTGATGAGCTTGGGATATCATACTCTTGATAAATGGCTGCATTTTGACGCTGGCGGAAAACAGTATTAATTAAGGTGAAACAATTCAAGGCTTTTGTATAACGGTAATGCACTTACTCACTGGCGCATATTTACGGGACAACTTTGCACAGGACAGAATTAGAAGTTGATGAATAGAAAGTATGTTTTGAGAAAAACTGAAAAATCACTTCATTTTTTTTTAGCAACCCTAGTATGCGCTTGGACATATATATATGTGTATGTTCCAAATACCAGAGCCTTTTAAATCTGTATGTTATTATTTACGTAATGTTTATTTACTTTTAAGTAACTTTTAATGAGCTCATCTGACGAAATATCGCTCTCGCATTGAACTTTGTCACACATAATCGTATGTAGATGGGTGTACATATATGTTGTTCACATGTATTTAATTACAAAAATAGTTGTTACTATAAATATGAGTAAACAAAAGCATACGCAAGGCGTGGTAATTAATACAAATATTTGCAGTCATATTATATTTACATCTTCGGGGACACTCATCTAGAACAGACTTTACTTAGCTAAATAATGCGAACGCGTGTTAAAGCGTATATATATATATATATATAATTGGCGCTTTGTAAGCGCTGAAGCGATTTTCCGCCGAGCTCTTCCTAAAATTAGTGGATTTTGCGTCTTGATGTTTTTCCAACAAATGGAGGAACCTACAGCTTATACTAAGCGTTATGTTAACATAAATTATGTCATATATTATAATATGTACATATGTACATGTATAATAACCACTTCTACTTCCAAATGAAATACCTTGTATAAACTTTCGTTTTTAAATTTGATTTATAAAAAACAAATTTTGTGTCCTTTATATATGTATATGTATTTATTGTATATTAAAGTTTCCATTAAAAAATTTAATTAAATGTATGTATATATGTATATAAATTGCATTTTTAATGAATTATGCCATAAATGCGTCTAAATACGTGTAGATACATTGACGAATAAAAATAATAAAAATTGTTTTTTTTTTCTTTCTGTTTTATTTAATTGCAGGTCATTTCAATTGAAACGCGCAAATAGAAATTTGTTTGCGACAAAAGCACAACTATTGTTTAATTACCGCTGACGCATTAGGAAATCGCTGTGACTGCTGTACTTTTTTTTTATAATCGAATCTCTTCAGTTGAAAAACAAGACAAAAATTGCTAAATTAGCTACATACACGTACAACACATCTACCTACATACGAACAGCATCAGCATCTATTCAGCGAGGCCGAGATTCAAAGCTCAACACTGAAGTCGTTAGCCGGTACGCCAATTTCTTCGTACACATCTTTATTATCATCTTTCCGATCACTTAACGGCACACTCATCATAGCTGAAACGCTGTTTGTTTAAATTATTTTATTTTGAACGTTTTGCTGCTATGGCCACTTCATCAGTGCTCCCCAACAATTCGACAATTTCGAATTTAGCATCAGCGGTCGCTGTCAATTCCTCATCGTCGTCGTCGTCGTCGTCGTCGTCGTCGTCATTATCGACTACTGCTACTATTACTACCTCACCTACTTTAATTTCAACACGTAAACGCACTTACGAGACTGCAATCTCAATGCCCGCTGTCGCAACAAAAACACGAGGAGCAACTGCTGCTATAGCTAAGGCAACACTTGCGAACAAAATGAATGCGAATGTTAATGGTAATGATGTTTCTCTCAGAGACATACTTGTGGATGGTGTTAGTACTGCCAGTAATGCAACAACGATAAACAAAGATTATACACGCACAGTTTCGCAAAGTGAACCAGACGAGGAGGCAGCCTCTGGTTCTTCATCATCCTTATATTATGATAGTCCAACCACAAGGGAATATGTACCGGCAATGACTGCGGTATTGCCAACATTAAGCAGTGGCTCATCAGATATAGCGGTGAGTAAAAAGAGATAAACAGAACGGGTTTTTTAGTTTTAAGCCAATGTTGAGAATTGTGATTGAATACGAGTAAAATATGTCGGAAAAGCAAAAATTTGTCTGATAAGTATAATATATATATTTTATTTTTGATATGTATGTACTGTGTAAGTTTTCTAAAATGACCTTTAATTTTAAATTGCGCTGATATTTTGATAGGGACAAGTCTTTTTTATTTTTTAGTTGGAAATACTGCCATTGCCAAATTTGATATGCTTTTTTCCGCGAATATTTTACCTAAACTCTAACATATGCGATATAGTCTTCTGATTTAGATAATTTTCAGTAACAAATTTTTAGAATACCAAATTTCTCGTTGTTAGGTACTTGTTTTGAAGTATTTGTGACCCGAATCAATAGAACAAATCGTTTGTATAGGAGCTATATGATATAGTCGACCGACCGACAAATGATAAATGCATTACAAATATATATATATACGGAGCTTATATACCGTGCAAATATCTCGCAAACTGAGAGATTAATTTACATTCAAGTCGGTGGACGGACAAGCGGACCGCTAACGCACGCCCGATGTTTTTCATTAGGAGCTGTTTTAATTCATGTCAGAAATGCACCAGAAGGGCTTGACATTCCTTGCGAAGGGGCGACATTAATTATAAAAATTAATGTTGGATGCTGACCACTTGTAAGCTGACCACTTGACTATTGCGGCTACCAATGCAATTACGAGTTAATAAAATAAGCACATTCGTTTGGTGATCCTTGCAATATAGTCTTCGGATTCCGATGGTTAACAGTGTAATTACTTATTTTCAGTATTCTATATAGAATGTCGAATTTAGCGCTCTTCAAAATTATTTTTTGATAGATTTATATCCCAAAATCTTAAAGGTGTTTATAAATATGAATAATCAAATGATGAAAAGAGTATAAATATTTCTCTGCTTACCAAATTTGGTCCGAATATCTACAAAACTAACTTCAATAGGAAAAAATAAATAAATTTGTATTTATTTAAAAAAAAAATTCTTTCATGGAATGATTTTCTTTATTAAAGAAATCCGCAAAATTTAAGTTACCATAAAAACTTTTCACATGTCATGGACTTTGAAAAGTTTACTTTTTTGTATGTACAATGAGAAAGTAAACCCAATCAGTTGGAGAATGTTTAATATTTGCACTTTCTTTTGAATGAGAAGATTTGAAAGAAATCTTAATATTCCACTGTAGCGTACCAGTCCCCAGAAGAGAAAATATAATAATTTGTAGATCATTCGATTCCTTGAACAAATTTGAGTCAAGTGTCTCACTTACAGAAATTACAGCATAAATTAAGCAACTCCCGTGTTTTAGGCACTTTAACCCCATTTTGCGACGCCTTAGTTGTGCTTTGAAATGTGGACAAATGATTTATATTGTACCATAAACATTCTCTTTTTAAAAAAGATTGGAGCCTGGTCCGCCAGCGTACACTTTCGGAAAGATAAGATATTGTAGTATTTACGTTAAACAAAGCAAAAAGCTACCTACGTATGTATCAATTTTCAAGTAAATCGAAGCATAAATAAATTTTTTTCAAAGCGGGTTCACTCCTGGCCCATTTCGTGGAAGAGAAAGTAATATAATACTTATGTTAATCCAAGCATCAAGCCATCTATAGGTATAAAACTCCAAGATAATCGAATTTTACGAATAGGTCGGTCCCTGGTTAACGTGGCGGATATTTCTATGTATATAGATGTAAGTATTTGCGATTGCGATTTGATCGATTACGTATTAATTCTGTCTTGAATGCTGTCAACAAAGATAATTACGAAGAATAATGCTCGTTTACTCCATTTGGCTGTGAATTGTTTATGCTCTTTATTTAACTGCCACACGTTTCTGTAGTTTTCGTAATTTACAAAATGAAAAATGCTAGAAATCAGTTGACATTTTCATTCATTACATAACTGAAACTAATCACTAGTCAAGGGTTATTTGCTGTACGAGTATATAATTTAAGATTTATATTGATGATTAGTGAGATTTATTTCTTTTATTCGTTTCGTTTGCAATTTCATTGCCGTAATTAAATCGTGTTATTTTCTTTCTGAAATTACATAACATATGTACATATATATCGGTGTACAACTTTGCTTCCGCCGTTTTTTTTTCCAAAATTAAAAGCTTTATTGCGAAAAAGTGCTTACAGATATATTATTCAAAGTATTGTCCTTCGCTAGCGACAACTTTTTCCCATATTTCCGGCAATTTTCGGATCCCGGCTCGAAAAAAGGAGGAGCAATCCATTTTTCCAATTCTTCGAAGGATTGAAAATGTTGATCGGGTGGGGCAAGACTTCCCATTTCAGCGTTTCCAGGTACTTTTTGACCACTTTTGCGACGTGAGGCTCGAGCATTGTCGTGTTGGAGGATGACTCTGTCATGTTGCTCTTGATATTGTGGCCGCTTTTCTTTTAGCGCGCGACTAAGGCGCATCAGTTGCGTTCGGTAGCGATCTCCTGTGATGGTTTCACCCGGTTTTAAGAGCTCGTAGTAAATCACACCGAGCTGATCCCACCAAATACAAATCATAACCTTATTTGTCTTCGACATCGGAATCACCATTTTTCAAACGTTAAAACCACTCCCGACACACGTTCTTTCACTCAGAGCAGCATCACCATTAGTTTCTGAGAGCATTTGATGCGCTTCAGCTGCATTTTTTTTTTCGAATTGTAACAGAAAAGTAAAATTTTCCGCAAATGGCGAGAATTAGGCACATAAACGGACATTTTCGAGAGTGAATAATACGAAAACAAGAACAATTGTCACTGAAACGGCGATGACCATTCGTTAGGCACTGTCCACACTCACTTTAAATGCATTATCATCTATGTATTTCAACCAGCCTCAGCCGGTACCGGTGGCTACCTATCGGAAAACGGCGGAAGCAAAGTTGTACACAACCTTTCCCTAAAAAAGAATATCTCGAAAATTAACATAGGCAAAAAGTCGTCTATGTTCTACATATATAATTAATTTTTTTTAAAAAAGATCGGAATCTGGTCCCAGAAAGAAAAGTAAACGGAACCCTGAATTCGATTTTTTCGAGTAGGTCCGCCATGGTCCACTTTCGGAAAGATAACATATTGTAGTATTTACCTTAAACAAAGCAAAAAGCTACCTACGTATGTATCGAATTTCATACCCAGTAAACACTGATCAAGTTTCAGATCTCTACATTTAGTTTATGGCCGATGGATTTTAATGAGGTGCCTTTGTCTCATATCAGAAATACAATACAAGACGTTTGAAATTCCCTATCTAGGGACGACCGCGATTTGAAAAATTAGTTTTCTATAATTTTGTATATTGGTCGCACCAGGACTCGAACCAGCCGAATGTTATCAAGCAATGCATGTGGACTGTGTGTACATACGAGTGGCAGGGCTAATGTGTGAAAAGACCATTTAAAGCTAAGAATAAAGTTAAATGGGTTTTCTGAAGAAATATAATAACAATAAAAAAGAATATACTTTTTCTTATAATTTAAATAATAATAATAATAATAAATTTAAATAAACTATTGTAAATATTTTTTTTCCCGTAATTGGAACTTTGGTCGAAAAAGGATGTCTTGATAGCCCATGTAATGGGCGACTTCAATTTAAGACTTAAATTAATAGTCGATAATATTTTAATAGACTGCAAATTGAATGCGTCAAAAACAATTTAATTTTTGTATGTATATTTGTCTACATATAGGCATGCATGTAGATATATTCGCATACCATAAGCAACAAGTATCGAATGATCATCTATTTTTGTTCAATTGAATTCATCACAGGCAAAGTCAGCCGTTGCTTTTTTGCTTGACTTGACTGCAAACGATTCTCGCCTAATATATTGTAGTCCACAATAGGGTCGTTCAATTTATTTTTTTTTATTTTTTAAATAAATCACTTAGTTTTCTACAATGAAAGGTGCCAAAAGCTTGGAGTTATGAACTGAAGTAAGATGTATTTGTGATTTTAAGTTGCCTGTTGCCAAAACTCCAAGATCCATATCTTCTTCTGACAGTTCTGTGAGAGATATGGGAACCACATTTGTTTAAGACAAATTACAACAAAAATTGTCATTGAGATACATATGTATGTATGTACACACGAGTAGTATTGTACATTTGTATTTAATTGCACGGATGTCCCAACTGTAATACAAAATTGTATAAAATCAAGTCAGCAATGTCTGCGAGTAGTCATTCGAGGATTAGAACGCAGCGCGGATACAGTGATGTGTATATTGAGAAATATATAAAAGAAAATACAATTTCTGCAATATGCCCAATTGAGCCGGTTGCGCACGTCGTCGCCTTAATTGAATGGAATTGGTGTATCCGAGCAATCCGCGCTAGTCGCTCGGTGGGTCGGTTTTCAATTAAATGCTTGAGTAATTTTTTGTCGTTCCGTTGTGTAAGCGATTGTCCCGTTAAAGTAGTGCAAACAAACTTAAGTGATGAAAGCGGTTTTGTAATAAATAAGCACGTTGAAATGCTCGCCGTGCTACCTTCCCTGCAGGGAATTAAGTTCTTAGGTTTCCAAAAAATGTCATTAGATTTACAAAGGCATTTTACATGAGAAATTTTTGGAAATAAATAAAATTATGCTGACAAACAAATTAAAATAAACATATACTTTTAAAGCAAAGTGGTTTTCAAACAATAAAAATATTTTAATTTAAAAATTTAACAATAAAAACATTTTACACTTATGACTTAGTGACAAGCGAAAACTCTTAATATTTCTTTTTTAATATAATATTTTTCCTTTTTATTCTAATTTTTCCTAGTGGGTATGACTCTAAAGTTAAATAAAGAACTGTAAAAAATTGGACACAGATAGAAATATGTAAATATCACGCCACTTTCAAGTTGATTACCTCGTATATCGAAAAACGATATAAAAACTCTATCAGTTAGTTTCGCCTTAAAATATTTGACACTACAATGGGTTTCTTAAGAATTATTTGTTATTGCAACTTATGACTCGGTCAAATTGTCGATTTTTTAATTATTTATGGGTAAATTTTTTAACCAATAAACATACATATGTATGTACGGCTTTGTTCATTATGCAATTTCTTACGTCATATCTCAGCAATAATCTGATTAACGTTCAAGTGCTCAAGAATTAAAGGTTTATCCGCAAAAACACAGTCAGAAACATGAAAAAGAGTCCAATAGTTTCAAAGCACACGGTCTCGGTGGCTAATATCGCCAAGACATAACGCGACCGGGAAATTTTTCCCGCGCAATAAAGCCATAGCATCGTATAGTATAGCATGTGGGATCGTCTTGTTGAAAGAACGTATTGTTCAGGACAAGTTCTTCTATTGCAGGCCAAAAAAAAGTCGGTTTTCATACGGCCATTGACAGTGAGAATCATACCTCCGGCACAAAGAGCGCACCAGACAGTCATCAATTATTTTTTTTTTTGTGTAATGGCCGCTCTTCAATTATTTACGTATTCACCGAATGAGAAATGTGTCTGTTCGTCCATTGCTTATTGTTCAAGCACCCGATTCGGGTCTTCGAGTTCACTTTCAATTACTGTAGCAGCGATATTTGAGGTGCAACGAGCAAACCGATGATGCACAGGTCTTCTAATATGTCTAACCGATCCAGTCTCTTCAAAATTTTTTTTTAATTTTACCAGCTGCTTGAGTAGCTTGACGAATATGTGCACCATAATCTTATCTTAGAGCAGGAAAAGTTGTCCTGTACTTTTGAAGCCACGAAATGGATAATTATATATTTACCTTCTGCTTTTACTCGAAAGTGCAAGGCTGAGCACGCATGATTCCCTGCCGAATCGCAGCTAGAAAAATTAATCTTTATATATATAAATGAATGTTTGTTTGTAAGTGATGCTAAGGCTCCAGAACGGCTGCACCAGTCTTGATGAAATTTCGAGAGATTATTCGTTGTGGATCTGTAAAGGCTTAGAAATGAAAAGTACCTTATACTTTTGATATAAAAAAATTTAGGAGAATTCCAAAAAAACGACTTTGTTTATTTTTATTAGATTTGTTTTTTCTTTCCGATTTGTTGGGGAATACACCTAACCTCATTTCCCCTCATATAAAAATCTAATGTCCGTTTGAAAAAATCCAGCGTTCTCCTAAAGTTACCGTCCGATTGACTTGTTTTCATCAGATCGCTTCTATAATTCCTGGAAAAGTTTTTACGAAAACCGATTTCGCGAAGTGTACAAGAGACTGACCCATTCGAAGAAATCTTATATATGGTCCAATTTACTTGAAATTCGGTTGCTTTTGGCTCAGATTAACAGGAAGTCTACACATCTCTCCAGGAAGTGGACCAATGTCAATGGTTTAACCAAAAATGTTGTATTCTCGCCTTTCCCCATACGAAATATTTCCTTTCACTTTTTTTTGAAGAGCTGTGAATGAAAAACACAATTATTTCATTTGAGAGGGCGAATCAAAAACACAACTTGCTTTCTTTAATAAATTTTATTTTCAATTTTAAAAAGATTTTACCGTACTTCAAAAGTATATATTAAACATTCTTCATTCGCAAGCTAATTTTAAAAAATTGTATATTTTTATTTGAAAATTAAAAAAAGAAAAAAGAACATAGAGATCATAAGCGCTACTGCGTAAAGCCAAAAACAATAATTGTGCGCAACAAAATCTGATAAAATAAAATTTAATTTCTGAAGCCATAAGGATTCAAAGAAAAAAAAAAAAAAAAAAAAAAAAAAACGTGCTCAAGATGACAACCGAGTTGGTGACGGCCCTGCCAGTGGGCATAAAAATGCTGCCGGTGAAAATGGANTAAAAAATTGTATATTTTTATTTGAAAATTAAAAAAAGAAAAAAGAACATAGAGATCATAAGCGCTACTGCGTAAAGCCAAAAACAATAATTGTGCGGTATTTTAATTGTAACAAGACGTAAGAAGTTATAGAATAGTAAGGATTCAAAGAAAAAAAAAAAAAAAAACAAAATAAAACGTGCTCAAGATGACAACCGAGTTGGTGACGGCCCTGCCAGTGGGCATAAAAATGCTGCCGGTGAAAATGGATTTTAAAGAATATGTAAATGCAATAAATTGAATAATTTATAAATAATAATACATACATATAGACATATTTATTTAAATATAAATATAATTGATTTAAATCCCTTAATTATTCTGATGTTTTTTTGTTTTTTTTTTCTTATAGACAATTTGTAAGCCAGCACCACTGGCCACCGACGAAGAGGCTGCCATTGAACGTGAGAAATGCGATTACAACTACAAAATCACCTATCAAATGGCTCGTTCGGGTCAAACGAAACGACGCGTACGTGTCTACGCCGATGGTATTTATGATCTTTTCCATCAAGGCCATGCCAGGCAGCTAATGCAGGCGAAAAACATTTTCCCAAATGTTTACTTAATTGTTGGTGTGTGTAATGATGAGCTAACACATCGTATGAAGGGACGTACCGTCATGAACGATCAGGAACGTTACGAGGCGTTACGTCACTGCCGCTATGTGGATGAGGTAAGCGGCGAAACGTTTACATGGCTTGATACATTTATGGCTGTGTGTATGTATGTTTATTTTTGTATTAAAAAACAATTACCTCCTTAGATTGTACCCGATGCACCTTGGACTTTATCAGACGAATTTATTGCATCGAACAAAATTGATTTTGTTGCACACGATGACATTCCATATACCGGCGCCGGCTTGGAGGATATTTATGCACCATTGAAGGCTAAAGGCATGTTTGTGGCCACTGAACGTACAGAAGGTGAGTTTATTTGGGATTCTAAGCTAATACTATTTGCTCAGGTTGTTGGTCAAGGACCAAAGGTTCTGGCTAGATTTTCCTCTCATATTTTTTACTCTGTGCTTGGCAATAGCTGCAGGCTTTGGTGTGGGCTTTGGTGTGAACTGCACCTAAAAAGTTTTGCATTCGTTTCTCGGCAGAGAATGTCAACGCCTTGGAGAGATTTAGACGGCCTAACAGATGTAGGTCTCAACAGATGTAGGTTGGCAGGCTTTGCCCAAGTCATTGAAGTCACCTAACGGGTGGTAAAGGAAACGAGGTGTTTTGACGGGTTCGGATCGGAAGAAAACGGGGGCTTAGATGAGTAGGTTTTAGGGGGCATGTGGGGCCAAATCTAGATGTAGGACTTAAGGCGACTACAATATCCAGATCTAAATTGTGCCAGTATTACTCGGGTCCCTCGAGGAAGCTCTATCTCTTCGCCTGAAAAAGGTGGAGCTTGGATTTCGAGAACGCCATTCACTGGAAGAGAGTTGATGAAGGGTGTTGATGGACTCCCGATGGATGGCGCTTAAAAGCCTGTCAATACGCCGCTCTGTCCACCGATTCTTGTCTACTTTGCTGAATGGTATCGGCATAGTCAGGTTTCCCTTCCGGATATGCCTTGCGTGGAGGTACAGCATCAAGTAAATGTCTGTTGGACTTTCACAGCTGTTCGAACCTGTACTCCTTTATGGAGGTGGTGAAAATAGCAACCGAGGATTTCGCAAAAGGCAACTGCTTTCCCACTACTCCACTACACGATACCTATGGCTATAATCTAAGAACCAGCAGTGGTTAGTGGTGCGTGCCACTATACGGAAGGTTCGAATCCTTCTAAAATTATAGAGGCTGCATAAATACCTCGGCATATCAAAGTCGCTGTGGATAACCCTAGTCGTGTGGGACAAGCTGCAGTTGACGGGTTATTAAAGTTACTCAGGCAATTTTAAGTGTATTGACGTTCCCAAATTGGTAACCACTTTTCCTAACCTAACATCAGTTTTGTGGGTGTAATCAATTTACAGTTAGCTTATCTTTTCTTTAAATATAATGTAATAAAAACGTAAAGTTCAATAAATACATATTTTATATCCTATTCCCCACCAGGCGTTTCTACTTCGGATATTGTCGCCAGAATTGTCAAGGACTACGACTTATATGTTCGCCGCAATTTGGCACGCGGTTACTCGGCCAAAGATTTAAATGTTTCATTCCTTTCGGAGAAAAAGTTTAGATTCCAAAATAAAATGGATGAACTGAAGAGTCGTGGACGTCGTGAATTGAACAAAGTCAAAGATGATATTATCACAAAATGGGAGGAAGCATCACGTGACTTTATCGATGCATTTCTACTGCTTTTCGGACGTGAACGTCTCAATCATTTCTGGAATGAATCCAAAGGTAAACTGATACAGGCGCTTAGTCCACCCGGCAGTCCAAGTGGCTCCGTTAATGGTGACGATGTTGATGATGAAGATGATTTCGACTGTGATGATGATGATGATGCTGATGCTGATTTCGCAAACGTACGCATTCCAGTAAGTGCTGCCCGGAGTCGAGCCGCAGATAGTCCAACATTACGTGGCAACACCGGTCGTGGAACATCGACCACAAACGTCAAAGTGATGCCAAACCAATTGCACGACAATGTCGATGGTGGTGATGACGATGATGACGATGAAGGCGACTATGAACATAGAAGTAATTAGAAAATAATTTAATGCCCAAATATTTCGTAGGTAATATTAATATTGTAACGCTAAATATGCGCAATGAAAAGCAAATGAGAATTACATTGAAAAGAAATAACAACTACATATGTATAACTATTTGAAGATATTTGAAGACACACATACACATATGTAAATGTCCTTGGAAAGAATATGAAATATAATATATATACATATATTTCGTCAAACATGAAGTTGGGGTTATTAATTGAGATAAAAGAAAAGAATGCCAATGATGAACGCATGAAATAAAAAGGACAACGAGGCACAGTAAATGTTAATACCTTTGACATATATTTACCGTCTGTTAATGATTTACTAAATACAGTTACGATTGAATTTCATTAGACAGACACACACAGAGAGAGAGAGAGAGAGAGAGAGAGAGTAGGAGAGTTAATGCGTTCGCTTGCATCTTTACTAGGGATATGCAGGACACCTATTATATTTACAGTTATTTAAATTTACAATTTATTAATCTATCCGCCGAGTAGAGTCTGATTAAAACAACTGTTAAAAACGAATTCTTATACTTACTTAATAGTGTTCTACTTATACTGCACACCCTCTTCAGCTAGCTGCACTTATTGAACGTTTGTCGAAATAGACCAATAAAAAAATAGAAATTTAAGCAGATGCAACAACAGTAACGGCAACAACCGGAACTGCCGCAAAATAAACTGCTATTTTGCTTTACATACATACATACTCCTATATAAAATTCGATTTCCAAGTAGTTTAGACTTCGACCATATACCCATTACGAAAGATTTTACCTATTTGATGTAGTTTTATTAACTATTATATAAACAAATTGTTTATTTATGCATGCATCCATATGGAGCAGCCAGCGTATTTACATACTCATTACGTGAAATGCAATTCGAATGCAAATCGATGCCTGGAAACACGTGTGTATAACAATTAAGCAAGTTTTAGCGATTTTATGTTCTTCTTTACAGCTCGCTGTTTGCTTTAGATCATAAGAGTCGTTGTAAAAAATACACCGATCGACGGTTTTTGTTATTCAGCGGTCATAGGGCGGTCAAAAAAACAACAAATTGTGGTAGTGTTCTATTATCTCATTGACTATCACTACTTTCAAAAGCTGCCCATTCGATATTACGGTAATTTTAAAATTCCAATGTCGTGCTGTAACTTATGCATACGTAAAAATGGGTCTAAATATTGTAGAAATGAGTATAATTTCGGGGTACTGTTGAGGCTGTAGCACCGAAACTAAGCTAAGAACTGTTTCCGCTGTAAATCAATAAAAAAAAAATACATACATACAACTAAATATTGGATTATAATCAAAAAAACAAAACAAAAAAATTTAGTCCGTACAACAAAAAAAAATTAATTAATATGAATTCAATTCCATTGGGTTGCCAATTCATTTTAATTGTTCATACATACTACATACAAGTAATATATGATTTTTCCCTTATATAATTATGCCTTATATATATACAATATTTAATATATGTATGAAAGAATGACATTATATTTATTTACATACATACACACGCATGGTATTTATGTGAAATGTGGTATTTTGTGATTTTTTTCTCATGACTGATTTCTTATAAAAATTTGTTATAAAAATATTAACTAAAAACTAAAACAACAAAAGCAAATAAGTGTGTTTTAAACCAAAAGGAAATATAAATGTTTCAAGAATGTTAAATGTACATACGTACACACACTCAGCAACACAATGAAACAATTTGACGATGAAAGGAAAAGCTAATTTGTAGGTATGAATAAATTAAAGGTGTGTAAAAGTACCAAAATAGGCAGATCTATGCAAAAAAAAAAAATAATAATAATAATAATAAGTACAGATTAATAAATGAGATACCATACATATGTGATGTAAAACATGGAAACAAATTTCAAAGATAATGTCAAAATGAGGTAAATAAATATAAATCAAGTGTCTTACACAAACGTGTAGGCAAAATGAACTTAAAATTTGCTTATTTACACATAAGAGTTTTCTTGCAAATAAATGCTCATGTTGACGTAAGTAATAAAGATGTTTTTTTCTTAGAATCATACGTTGAACACTGTCAAACTCGCATTAAATACTATGGGAAATCACTGTAGGCCACCAATTTTACTCTTGAATTAACACTTTCAAGCAAAGACTTAGAAAAAAAAATTGTCCGATTCCTTCAGCGGTGCTAATTTCACGCAAAGCGTGACACTTTTCCCTTAAGGGGTAAAGCCACTCTAGGAATTTGGAAAACGCTATTCTTTTGGCTGACAGGGTACCTTTGGGTCCTTGTTTTTAAAGTAAAAATTTAAAATAGCTGAGCTTTTAATTTTTCTGCAGCGCTGAGTACAATGAAAATTTTATACTTTTTTTCAATAAATTAGTGCCTATTTTTTTAGTGAAAAAGTGTGTCGCTTGCACAAAAATTAGTTAAAAAATAAATCCCGTACGTACTTCTAAAGACCATAGTTTGTAGATCATACAACTTTTCGCTTTTCTGTTCATTCTTAAAAGGAAATCGGTCCTCGCGTAGACGCCTTTCAAAAAACCATGGACCATTTTGTAGCTAAATAATAATTAAAGAATATTTTTTTTTTACATCAATATATGTTCAATGAAATGTGTTCAAGTCCACAAGGACTTGAGGGTAAGTAAGGGGATGCCGGCTGTCGAGCGGGCCCACAGTTTAAATGAAAAAACACTTTTTTCAATTTTAAAATTGTTCACAAAATTTTAATAAAAAAAATTCACTTAATTTAGTTTCACAAATTATTTGATTAAAACTATTTTTGCTAAATTAGTAAATTTATAAAATATAAGAGACCGCGATTTAAAGCTGCCGTGCGCGAGCGAGGGTTGTTAGATTTAGAGTGCTTTTTCGTTAGCTCGAACGGCCGCCGCTAAGCGGTCGATCGGCTAACGAAATTTGGCCAAAAAGGATAGAGGAATTGGCGCGTGATAGGGCACACGGAAATAGTGGGAAGAGACGGGCAATTCCACGCGCACGGCAGTTACATTTATTTATTTTTAAATCGCTGTTTAAGCAGACGCTTAAACAAAATGGTTAAATGAAAAACTTATTCCTTTTCCCATCTTCCTACAATAAGAGTTATAAAACGAGTAAAATTTTTTAACCTTTAGAGTGGCTTTACCCCTTAAGCTGTTTCAGATTTTCAAATGAAATTACTCGAAAATTGTTGCCATTAATTTGACTTTATTGCATCTGCATTTCAAAATATCAATTTTTATTCACGTAAAGGGCGCAGTACAACAAACAAACAATTTTGTGGTATCTTAGTTGTAGCTGATAATTTTGAATTCATCTACAAATACTATTATAGTTCACAATTCAAAATAAAATTTATTTACATAACATAATTTCCGTTCAGTTAATTCATTCAAAACATAATAATTCTCAAGTACTTTTCTACAATGTTGTAGCTGTGAATTTTTATTTCAATTTACAAATAAGTTTTAGTTTACAATTCGAAACAAAAAACTTCACAGTACATAGTTCAGTTAATTAATTCAAACATAATTACGTTGAAGTACTTTCTTCATATTACCAAATAAAAAAATAGCTTTAAATAAATTATAATTATCGACATATACATACATAATTTTGAAATTGGTGCAGTCATGAACATAAAATATTTTATATAATTCGACTTTCTTTTTTTTTTTCAATAAACAAACATAGAAATAAGAAATTGTCATTTATGAGTTAATTTTACTTTTGCGCCATGTGATTTGTTTTTTTTTTTTTATTTTATTTTCCGGAATAATTTATGCCAGTGGAGAAGAGTGGTGTCATTTTTTTAGCCTTCTTATTCTTTTTACCGCCAGCCGCTGCAGCATGTACAGTATTCGCTGCTGTGCTAGATTGTTTCTTTTGTGATATAGCCATAGCAAGAACATCACCTAAGTCGGTGCGCATTGGTGTTGTAAATCCAATATTATCAGTTAAGGAATCGTCAAGTGAATCACATTCACTAGAACGATCACATCTCATTGTATGGTCTTGACTATTGACAGCTATCGATTTTGCAGTGGGTACACTTTTACCCCATGTCGACAATTCCTGGTACATGTTATTATTATTTCCACTGGGCGCAGATAATGTTGGCCAGTATTCTCTTAGGTTCTTTGGCGATTCACCAATAACAGCAACAGTTGAGTATGATGTTTGTGTCCTTGCTTTTGGTATAAGAGTTGGATTGCTGGTTGACATTTCCATATTGGCTCTGCTGCTGGGAAGGGCTTCTTCAAAACCCCACTAAAGAAAAAAGATGATGTAAAGAAAACACTCATTATAATTCGTTTTAAAATTAAACAACAACAACTATGAATCCTACCGTTGGGAACTCTTGTGCGGATGTTAAGTTCAAATTTGCCGTGCTGGCAATAAGTTTGCCCATTTGACGGTCATTAATTTCATTTATTTGCTTTTCACGACGACTTTCTTCACGCTCGCGACGCTGTCGTTGATTCTTACGCTTAGTTATACGCTCTAAACAGATTATGTTATAAATAATAATGGAAACTTTTACATTTTACAAGTTTTCATAAAGATTTACCTTTGAATAGTTTTAAAATATCGTCAGAAACATAAGGTGGTTGCAAATCTACCTCGATCACGGCGAATTGACAAGTTAAAGGTAAATGACCTAGGCAAGTGAATATGCGGCGATGATCTTCATCCATGGAGTGATACTCCTTTTGCAATACTCTTGCACTTATTGCTAGTGGAGCATGTTCCAAATCGCCATAACATTCTTGCAACATTTTTACATTTAAAGGGTGTAAGAAAATATTTTGTCCGTCTATAGACTGATAAAAATAATAATATTTCGCATTAGCTTCTTCCCTTCCGAATGTTGATAAGGTCAAATTGCTCGTATTCAATAAATTATCGTCATGACTAATGCTGCTCCTATCAGTGCATGTAGCGTCATTATCCTCTGGTAAGCTTTCGGCATTTTCTATGTCTAAGGTGTTGTGTACTACATTTTTTTCGTTTTCTTTGTGTTGAAATTTAGTAAAATTAACATCTTGTTTGTCTTCTTTCATTTCTTCAATTTTCTTACGTCGTTCATTTTGCAAATCTAAAGCTTGTTGTATGAATACGTATTCTGGACTTGAAGGGTCTTGTCCATCTATTAATTCATGTCGCTCCCGATCTATTATTTTTAAAATATCATTTCTTTTGGCAATTAAAAACTTTGAAAAAAGTTTTGATTCATCATCGCTTGAAATTTGTGGATAATTGTCAGCCATATTTTGACGAGTATTTGGAGCAAATTTCTCTATCAACATGGATCCTTTTTTGCGGCACATCAAATGAAAAGTAATTTCGTCACCAATATGGAATTGGCGTTGTTGTTCAATGGTTGTGCTTTTTAAGTCAGCTGTATGTATTGCTTCATAACATATTGGGCATTTACGCCAAGTTTTATCGCTTAGAGCCAAGTAGTGTAAAATACATGGCCAGCAGTAGGCGTGCCCGCAACGTGTTAGTTTAGCAGCTATTGGTGGATATAAGCAAATGGGACATTGCGGTTCTTCTTCAGTTTGTATATTAATTTGTTCAATAAGATTCCAATCAATCAACGTATCAGGAGAAGCCAAAACGCTCAGATTGACATCAGATTTTACAACAAATTGGAAACTGAAATAAGATATTAATTTACATAAAAACTAAGCAAAGGGCACTTCATGTAGTACATACTTTGCTTGCAAGAACTGTTCTTTATTATAACGGTGGCGTTTGACAACCCCGTTATTGGTTCCTTGACGTTTTATGACCCCTTTTGAACTTCCACCGCCATTCCGACCAAATACGTTATAACTAAAAGCATTGTCAGCATCACGCGGAGGGTAATGAAAGTTAAGCAGATGATTCCAATTCTGCTTCTTGCTTCCTGGCATGTACACAGAATTCATTTCATAATCAGAATAATGCTGATACTTTTTTTTGGCCAAGGCACCGGTTACAACCGGTTCAGATGCAATGGCTAATCCGGCGCTGGAAGCAGAAACATCCTCATTCCCGTATGTGAAGCTGTCATCGCTAATGCTGGATTCATTAGCACCACCATTATGACCGCTGCCGCCGCTACCACGCTGGCGAGGGCGTTTATCGACATTAGGACGAGCCTTGACTGCAATGTACTGCTTGGAGTTTCGCTGAGAGTCGTTACGAGTGGTTGTTGGTTGTTCTCGACGTCGGGAATTACGAGGCAAGCACTTATTAACTTGTAAGTCTGAAAAATAAATAAACACAAAATTTAAAAACAATTTAGCTTTATTTGAATTTTAAGTTTACCCGAAGATGATTTTCGTACAGATGAATCAGTTGGTTGACACGCTTTGGAGCGTGCAAAATTGTTTTGTTGTTGTTTTTTGTTCTCCATTGTTATTAAAATATACGAAGCCTGAGGCGCAGCTAGCAGCTGGGCGAATGACGGGAATCAAATTGAAATTAAAGGAATTTCTCGACAGCGAGCTTTGGTTGATGAAAATTTCTCCAGATGGAGTATTTTGCACTTTACTAATTTTTATGCGAGACATTTTTACTGAGCCATGATTTCAACTGCAAATACCCGAAAAAATTACGTCGCTTGTAAAAGTGAATTCACGAAGTATTTTTTATTGAAAAACGAGGTGAAGACTTGTAGGCGAGTAGACCTAGCACATCAACGGATGACGTCGCCGCTTTCCTATTATTTCAGCAAACTTTTATACAGCTTACTACAGCGAACAATATCACTTTAATCGCTCTAATATATTAGCTTCTTATCCGTTTGATGTGGAATTACAATTTTTAAAATTCAATTAGCTTTGCGAAGCCTTGAAAACTTTAGTTTTTCACAACTACAGAATGAGAAATGGAAACCACGAAGTCAAAACCAGAAAATTTTATTTAACGAATGAAATAACGAGTAAATTACGACAATTTTCGATTGCTGAAAATCGACTGTGCTGCCCTGACAATTGTCAACGTTATCGTGCTGCAAGTTTCCGTTACCCACCAGCATCGCAATTCGGTAATGGAATTAGCATATAGAAAAATTTTGTAAGCCAAATATATGTGAATGAAATTCAACACTTTCATATAAGAAAATGTTATCTTAGTTTTATATCAAAACAAGTTCCATTATTTGTAAATCAGAACATTTATATTGTTACGATTTTACTAAATCACCCTCGATTATTTTCTAGATCCTTCGGGTACGATCTCTGGATTGTTAAATAAAAACTCGCCAACTTAATTTGCAGTTTCTTTCGTTATAAAGATTCTATCTAATGTCCTTTATTTTCTCAGTAATTCACAATTCAATTATACTGCACTTTACTATTTATAATCACTAACATCAACTTTCACAATTTCCTCTACTTAAATGTAATTCCCAACGCGTTCACTTTACGTCTTCACTGATGTTAACGCCAACCAATTTGCTTTGTCACTGCTTGACTTGCAGCTGAGTGTCGCCTTTATATAGCAGTCGGCTGCTCGCAGACGAAAGCGTAGAAGCATTGAATTGTTCGCTATGGAAGGTTCTTGTGTTATCGGCTTCTCTCTTTCATCTGACATTCGCCTCGCATTTTCGCAACAATATATACAAATATAGAAAATTTGGCAGCTCTATGTTATATTGTTCACATTCCGTTAAGAGACAAATAACAGCTGAAATTGACTTTTGTTATCACTGGTGTACTTTGCTCTATTTACTAAATGGTTTATGTATAATAATTAAATTTAACAACTTTAGGGAATGCAGCAGCGCCGTGAATTCATTGGGAAAAATCCATTGGATTTCCGAAATGCGCGAGCGCGTCAACCTGAAATTATCCGATCCGTGCAAAAGGATTCGAAATATACTGACGAGCTCGCAGAAGATTTCTCGGATTTACTTCGCATAGGCGGTTCAAGGCGTTGGATAAAATACAATCAATTGTGTAAACTTTTTGCAGAAATTTCTTATCATGGATTTGCTTCAATATATAATTTGCAAACTCTTGGAGAGGAATACACGGGTACTATACAAGTTGATAGTGCTTATATGCATATCCCCTCACGCTTGGTATGAAATCAGCTTATAGTTGTCGATTATGTATTATAAACTTTTATTATTATTTAGTTACAGTTAGTGGCTATCATACTTGAATTCGGTGGAGATGCATTATTTCTACGGGTACTTGAAAAACTTGAAAGATGTATAGTTAACAATGAGGAAATTGTACCAGAGGCCAAGCAGAAACTGCTAACAGTAGTGCGCGTGATGCGTTGTTCTCCCCAATATATTAAGGCTCTACATAAATCACTATTTTATCTGCGCTCTGACAAATATCAAATATCCAAGCGCATGACGGGAATAAATTATGTGCTGATACGACATTGGCTGCAACCAGAATTTTCACTATACGGTTATAAAATACTTGGTATTATAACCTTTTTGCAAGTTACAGTGTCTTTAGTTGTAAATTTCTATGAAGCATGGAAGGAACAAAGAAGGAAGCAGTTAGAAACCATAAGTAGCACTGCAAGAATTTTATTAAACAAAGATCAAGCTGCTGCAAAGGGACAACAGGCTGAAGCGCCTAAATGTATACTCTGTCTTGAGCCGCGTATGAGTACGTGCTTAACCCCATGTGGTCATTTATTCTGTTGGAACTGTTTATTAGATTGGTTAGACGAACGGGATGAGTGTCCGATGTGTAGAGAAAAAGTAAAAAAGTCCAATCTAATCCCACTGCAAAATTATTTATAATTTAGGATGCCTTAGAATAACATGTTTTGTATTTGTCATAGATTGAAATATATATAAGCTAGTATTTTCTTAATAGTTTTGTAGTGCTTTAAAACCGCTTTATTAAATATAATTTTATTTTAATTCCCGATTAATAACACAAGATTGAGCTGACAAGGAAACTTTTCGATTTGCGCGATAATGTCACAATATCAATGTGACATTAAAAACAATTTATTAAATAATTAAAAAAAAATGGGGTGTGCGTTTTTCCAGCAAATGGAGGGTCTTAATCCGACTCCGAACGGCCGATGGATTTTTATGAGAAGATTTTACTTCATGTGAAAAATACACTCGACGACCGACGTTAAATTTTCTGCAATGTTGAAAAATGGTTCGCTTTTACAGATAATGTGAAAAATGTCAAAGGAAAATAATACCATTCTTTTATAAATCGTGCACTTTATTTGAGATGGAAACATAAAAGTCCATATTAGGTATGCAGTTCGGATGATAAATATATACGACATAGATTACTTAGTGTTTCAAAATATCTTTATGTCTGATAACAAAGTTATAGCGATATCCATCCACTGTGCAAATACGTCTCTATTCTTTATTTACGAATGTGGTACCAGTAAGATTTGGAATAAATTTTACCCAAAAAGCAATCCATAATAAAAATATACATCAGATGGCAACTTTAATTTGTGTATTTTGTTTTCTTTGTTTTCACATTAGATCGCAATTGTTGCAGAAGCTCCACTAAAGATTTTCATAATTTATGAGGTATTTTTAGACGAAATTTTATATTAAATTGTGTTTTGCTTGATAATTAACTAAAAAATTACATTTTCTTTGACAATAATTTTGTGTAGGGGCTCATGATAGAAGATTATCTTTGCAGCGCCTCCAATGTTTAACGAAGATATACATATATAAAGTGAGGTGAAAATAAACAACAAATTACAGATATTACCTTTGAAGCAAAATTAAAAAAAAAAACCTTATTCACATATTTTCGAGTACTTATAAATTTGGCTTGTCAGTAAGATTACATAGCAGAAAAACTTTTAGAGCAACTAGAGACAGGAATGGGTAATAATATTGTTTATGAAATCGATGAAGGCGATGACTTCAATGATGTGGACGAAATATTGGGTGAGCAATTAAGCTTAGCTGTTGGCACTGTAATGAGTCAATTGGAACATTTGGAGCGAATCAGTACATTGGAAAGGCCAACAACGCAAATGCCTGTGATAAGAAAGAAACCAGATTTGCGAACCTTTCGCGTAAGTGAAGAATTGATAAGATGAATTGATACTTAATCGAAATACACTTATTGCAGCATACCATGTTATACAAAGAAATCAAAGCCTTATGTGCACTGCCCGCTAATAGTAATCGACCAAGTGAACGCTGGTCTTTGACTCGCGGTCTACTTAAGCGTGAAAATGGTATAGCCGCACATCCAGCTGGCTCCTTTACACCAAATCAACAACGACGTATAGCCAATTTGTTTGTGCCTAATAACAAGGAGGAGCGTCTAATGTCCTTAGAAGCCAAAGTTTTTACTTGCAAATTTAATAAGGATGGAAGCAAATTAGTTACTGCTTGTCAAGGTTATTGTTATACATAAAAAAAGAAATGTCTTCTATTTTTGCTACTTTTAATCTAATATATCATAATTTTTAGATTCTATTATACGTATTTTTGATTCCTCGAAAGGAACATACCACCGCATTAATCGTATAATAACAGATATCTGCAATTGGAGCATATTAGATGTTGACTTCAGTCCTTGCGGACAATATCTTGCCTATTCCACATGGTCTGACGCGTGTAAGTTTTATTAAAAGTACTACGGATATATTTGTTGTATACTATACTTCTCTTTTTAGTCTTTGTCTTGCCCGTAAATAATGACGGAAGAGATATGCAGTTTCATAATTTGAACGCAGAACATACGCGCTCTGGCATATTCTCTTTACGTTTTTCGCCATGTGGTCAAAATATAATCGGCGGATGTAATAATTCTTTAATTTACATGGTTGATCGTGAGACGCATGCAGTTCGGATGATAAATGCCGAACGAAACCATAAAACTGATATTAATGCTGTAAGCTTTGTTAGCGATCAAGATTCAAATATATTCGTTTCCGGTTGCAATGATGGGGTGCTTAAGTTGTGGGATTTACGATGTGCTGGTAGCTCAATGCGAGGTGGACACAGTTCAGGCTCGGGAAGTAGTAACAATAGATACAGTAGCAGTACTGCTAGACAAACACCAGTTGGTGTGTTCAAAGGCCATTTAGATGGTATTACTTACATCGACCCCCGCAATGATGGCCATTATATATTGACAAATTCGAAAGATCAAAGCATTAAAATTTGGGACTTACGAATGACAACGCCCAACAACAAGTTAAATAAGGTCAAACTGCCATTAATTCAATGGGATTATCGATGGGACACTGTACCACGCGAATGTAAGTTATATTATCTGTATGCATGTATATATGAAATTTTCACATTTATCTTATTGAATAGATTACAATCCAAAAGCGACACTTGAAGGTGACGTTAGTGTCATGACCTATCGCGGTCATCGTGTTACAAAGAGTCTATTGCGGGCAAAATTCTCTCCAGCATTACAAACTGGACAACGATATATTTATACTGGCTGTGGAACAGGCAGAATTATAAGTGAGTACACAATTGCTTATCAAAAGCACAATCAACTTATTATTGCTTCTTCAGTATATGATGTGTTGACTGGGCAAATAAAAGAGGCTATTGAGGGTCATAAAGACATTGTACGAGACTTGTCGTGGCACCCTGTTCGTTCTGAGATTGTTTCAAGTTCGGTGAGTATATAATTGTTGATACTATAATAACATATAAATTGAAAAATTCCTTTACAAATTTAGTGGGATTCACATGTAAACCTCAACACATTTAAACATAATCCCTTGCTAAAAAGACCAAGTACTGGTCCGGGTTATCAAGGCTCTTTGAGGCGTTCACTGCGCATAGCGCATCAAAATGCTGTCATCGATGACGATGCCGAAGAGGATGATGTATATTTTAATTAATAATAATACCTTAAGTACATTTATGACAAATTTTTATTTATTTTGAAAACAGCCCGAAGCAACTTGGTAGCAGTCACATTGATTTTATGCCAGAAGAAACTTAATGAATTAAAATGAAATAAACGCAGCATCAGAATCGAAGCAAAATGAACTTTCACGTACATGCTTTTGATTCAAAAACACATACAAATATTAATGTATTGTATACATATACATACAAATATATTACGATTAGTCTGCATTCTTACTTTTAAGTGTTGTATTACCTAAAATTACATTTACGTATGAATATGTAAATATTTAATGTTATACTAAGAGGTGATTTATCCGCATTATACTTGTGTGATAAGTGTTCTGCAGCAGTCAAAATTTAAATGATAATTTTCACGCACCTGTGAATATTCGATTCTTTGACTACTGTCCTAATTAGGTCACTATCGTTTTTGTAACACAACGTAATTTAACAAGAAATTTAAATTAAATAAAAATGGATTCACTCAGGCCTATACAAGTGTTTTAATTTGCCGACTGATTTATATTATGATTTTCTAGAATTTGTTTAAGGGTGAAGAAGATTTATATTCTAAGCTCTGCGATTGAACTGTCCAATATAAATATATATCTATATATATACCTCAATTTCTTACATCATTACATTTGAATATATTTTCTCACTCTAAATATGAAATAAGTGAATCGTCCGATATTTGTTGTAGTACTAATCAATTCTAAAAAGTGTAAGGAATACATATATTATTTACTCTTTTAATATCCTCTTACCCATTTTTCGCGGTTTTTATTGACTTTTGTTTTAAATTGATCCCTTACATCTCTAAAACGCTAAAATGCATTTTCTTTACCACTCGACCTGTAGATACGTTTTAGGAACACAGCTAAGACATAAATAAAAACCTTTTAAATAGTATTTTACCCATTACTTATTGTTTTTCACTGATTTAAATGGTTCACTCTCATCCACTACCGCCGAATAACACTTCCTTTTCCTGTCAGAATTTTTTACTGTCGACTTGTTTCTCTTTGGGTGCGTTCAGTAAATATAAAAAGCTCCTGAAAGCCCAATACTAAATATTTTTGTTTTAATACATTTTAAGTAGATAGTTTGACGAATTAAAGTTTTTTAATTTCCAAGTTTTAAACACTTGCATTAACTGCTTGTGCCGAGTTATGTACATACATAAATAATACAAGAAACTATCGTGAATATTTGACATTGACAGCACACATTGAACATACAGCTTCCACCAGAAGAAAAGAATAAAGGCCAATGCAGATTGAAATTTCGAGCAGCGTTCTGACAGATTACGACATATATTATATGTGAAAATATATTAAGTGCCCTACACAAGAGCCCGCCAAAAAAAACATTAATACGTATTTAAATTATGTGAATATATATTTGTATTTATATTATATGCATGTGTTACATAAAGACATTATATGTATAAAAAATGTAACGGGGAATAGTAATACTCAACACTTACAACATCTCATCATTACGTTTCAGGCTCGTATTTACAAAATACAGATATTAAATGTAAAGTGAATCAAATCTACAAAACTACAACTTACAGTTAAAAAAATGTTTGTAATTTATTTAAATATAGTCTACCCCATATTTACAACCGCCCACAATTTCATGGTATATATGTGTTTAATTTGTAATATTCTACAACAACGACAAACGTATAGTACGATTGAAAATCTGTTTTCTTCGTCGCGAATTGTAAGCGGAACGCGCTATTGATGGTGTGTCAAATGCCACACGCGCATCACCTGTAGGCGTACCATCGTCATTGAAGCGTCTTATAATATCATCTGGCGTTAAATCAAAGCCGGAGAAAAATTTCAAAATATCAACCAATTCAGCCTTGTATGGCACGTTTTCCATGGCCACAACACAGCCGGGACGAGTAAATTTTTCTGGTATGCCACCATTACTAGCTTCATCGCCATCAACATCTTTGGGTCCACAATCACCACTACTGTTTACATCATTGCTGCTATCATCGATAATATGCACATCATTATCCTGCTCTGAATTATAACCATCATGACTCGAGCTACTATTATTGTGGCGACTATTGCGATTGCGCATGCCGCTGCTCAAGTTATCTTGACGATCGCCACCACTGTTATTGCGACCACCTCTGCTCATCTTTGGTCTTAATCCACCACCACCACCACCACCACCACCACTACCACCACCACCATTATTAACGTTACCGCTGTCACTACCACGACCATTATTGTCGTTGCCGTAACGTCCAGCGGAACCACTGCCGAAGTTCATCATTGATGGGCCATCATTTGGGTTCATTGCATTGTTATTTCCCATAAATGGATTCCTTTCGAAAGGACCACCACCTGTACCGTTACCACCACCAGGATAAAAATTCATGAAGGGTTTGCCGATTCGATCAGCAATCTCTTGTGGCATGATCGAGCGTATACGTAGTTTACGTTGTCGAAAATTGGTATTATTAAATTCGCGAATGGCATTTTCAGCATCGCGTGAATCCAGGAATTCAACAATGAACTCACCGGTAGGCATATTTCGGTCGCCACGTAATGGTTCGATGTGTTTGAGACGTAAGAATGCGCCCTGCAAAAGTTCGGCAATGTCATTCATACGGGTATTGTAGTCGCAATTCTTCATTAATATGAAATTATTCATTCCATTTGAATTGTTCATGGGCATATCGTTGAAATTCATATTTCTATTGTTATTATTATTCATCATTGATGGCATGAAATTTCCATTATTGCTCATGTTCATATTGTTCATATTCATACCCATGTTGGAGTTCATGCCCATGCCCATGTTGAGATTCATGCCCATGTTCATTCCCATATTAGAGTTTGAGCCCATGGCGTTCATACCCATGCTCGAATTGAGCCCCATTGAGTTCATACCCATATTGGAGTTCACATTCATACCCATGTCGTTATTGGCAAGCTTTCTGTTTAGATTCATTTCGTCCTCCGGATTTAGTGGTTCAAAACGACTTGGCTTTTGTCGACGGAGACGAGGGTCACTTGGAGTATTATTACTGTTGTTGCCACTTCTTTGCATATCACCATGTATTGCTGTTGGAATATCGAAGAGACTGGGTATTTTAGGTGGCTTTGTATCTGAAGAACTATTATGATTATCCTCCTGATCTATATTCGCTTCAATATTAGTGTCCGGACAGGCTTGACTGCTGGTATCATCTGCCACATCCATATCATCCTCTCCTTGATTTTCTAATTCTTTTAACCTTTCGGCTTCAGCTAGTGCTTCTTCTTCTTTTATTAATTGTTCATTCGCCAGCCGCAGTTTTTCCTTTTCCCTTTCCATTTCTTCTACCGTAGCTGGACGTACACGCACTTTGCGATAACCAATCATATGTCTTGATTTATCTTCGTATGCCGCTTTAGCTTCTTCAGCTCGAGAGAAAAGTACATGGCCTTTGTACTCTCGTCTATTTTCACGACTCGGTGTCAAAAGTATATCGAAAATAGTAAAAGATGAGAACATACGCATGAGGTCATGTTCAGCTGCTGAAGATGGTATGTCTTCAATATAGAGCACAGTGAATGGTTCAGATTTTGTTTCTATATCTGAATCGCGATCACTGCGATAATTCGAGTCCCCACCATTATCATCATCTTGGCGATCGTAATCGTTGTGGCTGTCTTGATAGTGACGATCACCACGATCCCGGTCAAAACGCCCTTGAGGTCGATAACTATCCTCCACTTCATCAAATTCCGCATCAGTGACTACCTCTATCTTGACCGGCTTCGCCTTAAGCATAGAATTATTACGCATCAATGCTTTATGCACGCTGGAGACACGAGAGAATTGTATATAAGCTACTCCGATACGAAGACCATGTTTGTCATTTAGCATTTTAATACCGTTATGTGGAATGAATAGGCCTGCGAAAAACTTACGTACATCACTGTATGTCGTACTGGAGCACATGCTGCTTATCTTGATACAACAGCTCTCCTTAGATGCTTCCTTCGATCGTTGTACTTCTGGCTCTCGCGTCTTTTGCTGAACGCTACTTGGTTTCGTCAGAGTTGCAGCTGCAGCTTGTGCGAACAGATTAGGATACATCTGTGCATAGGGGTTCGTGTTGGCGAATGCAATGGGCTCTTGGGTCAATTGGGCTACTGCCGCAAAATCAGATGTTGTTGTATTAGACTGCGGCAATACATCGGGTTTCTTCTCCATTAAGCTGAGACCTGGAAACATTGTGGTGCTAGTTTGCTGGGTTGGGCTACGCGTTGCAGAACTTGTTGAGTCCATAGAGTTTGTATTCAAAGTGGTTTGTTGAACTGCTGCTGTATATGGATTTTGCAAAGCAAATGGTTTAGCTGACTCACTACTATTTGAGCTAGCGTTGAATAGATTTATGCTATAGTTGTTAGTGGTAGAGACTGAAGAAGAGTAGCTCTGGAATCCCGGTATAGTGTTGCTGGCTGGCGTGTTTAAGGAACTCACGCCACGTTGAGAATCCGGACTTTTATTACCCGTCGTGGTGGTATAAGAGTTTGCCAATTGAGGCCCGCGTAAGCCCGGTATAGTGTTGCCCATATTGAATGGAGTCAGTATATTACTTGTACCACTACCGGCGACAGAAAATTGTGTCGGACTAGTTACAGTCGTAGTCGGTATGTGATCTGTTATTATCTTATTTGTCTGATATGAATTCATAGCAGTTGCACCCCAAGAGGAGATGCTACCGACCTTTGCATTATTGCTCTCTATCGAATCCGTTGTCTTTGTGCTACCTTTATTATTACTCGGCAAGTCCTTGCTAGATTTACTAGACTGACCATTGTCCCGTTCTCTGTTACTCACGTTACTTCGACTAGAAGCTCGGCTACGATCTACGCTGCGGTCTCTGTTTCTATCGTAATCACGCTCTCGACTCCTTGAACGTCGACCAGATCGTCTACTCTTCCAATCGCGATCACGCGATCGAGAGCGACTTCTTTCCCGTCGACCTCGACGTGAACTATTACGATCATTTCGGTCGTTGCGATCACGTGAACGTGTACGTGATCGGCGACGTTCGCGTGATGGAGAACGACGACGATCACGACTCTTTTCAACACTACTACCATGAGCGGTTGTCGAATCTGAGGTGCTTGCTTCATTCGGAGTTTCGATAAGTGTAATACCGGCCTGTTTTTGATATGCCAAAAAAGAAGGTGCGGCACTCGAAAGAATATTATGTAGACTATTTGCGGTAATGACTGGTGGTTGGGGTGTGGGTGTGGTTATGGATGGTGAGGCTAGAGTGGGCTTTATAGCTTGTAAAGCCCCTGCATTTTTGAGTGCTTGCAGAGATTGTTGGCGTGCGGTTTCTATGACCTTTTGCATTTCAGCACGCGAAGAAAGTAACAAACGTACCTGAACCTCGTTGATTTTTTCTCGATCGTGCATCATCGCTTGACGGGCATCTTCGTCGGTGCTGTATTAGGAACAGAAACAAAAAAAGCCAAATGTAGTTCATTCGATTATTTCCTATAACAGTAACTAGTTCTAAAAAGAGCCAAGGCAAGACAATTGAGTCAATTCATTTTACCTTTTTGTCCCTACCTTCACTTGATTCAGTTTGTCTTTTTTATATTACTGGATTGCTTATGGGAAATTTTAAAGATAAGAGTTGGCGTAACATGCACTGATTACATGTGATATCTTATCAGACCTGTGACGACAAATACCGATCAAATCATGGAATACATCGAGTTAGACCGGCATATGGCATCTCGTGACATCGCCCAGGAGATGGGAGTTAGTCACCAAACCATTTTGAACCATCTGCAGAAGGCTGGATACAAAAAAAGTTTGATGTTTGGGTGCCGCATAATTTGACGCAAAAAAACATCCTGGACCGAATCAACGCCTGCGATATGCTGCTGAAACGGAACGAACTCGACCCATTCTTGAAGCGGATGGTGACTGGCGACGAAAAATGGATCACATACGACAATATCAAGCGAAAACGGTCGTGTTCGCAAGCCGGTGAATCGTCCCAAACAGTGGCCAAGCCGGGATTGACGGCCAGGAAGGTCGTGGTGTGTTTGGTGGGATTGGAAGGGAATCATCCACTATGAGCTGCTTCCATATGGCCAGACGCTTAATTCTACCATCTACTGCGAACAACTGGACCGCTTGAAGCAGGCGATCGACAAGAAGCATTCAGAATTGGCCAACAGGAAGGGTGTAGTGTTCCACCAGGACAACGCCAGACCACACACTTCGTTGATGACTCGTCAGAAGCTACGGGAGCTCGGATGGGAGGTTTTATCGCATCCACCATATAGCCCGGACGTAGCGCCAAGTGTCCTGTCCATGGCGAATGCCCTTGGTGGTGTGAAGTTGAACTCAAAAGAGGCTTATGAAAAGTGGCTGTCCGAATTCTTCGCCAATTAAAAAATCTTACCATCTGCTTTGACTTCCACAGATAAATACGTCTCGCTTGGAATTTGTTTTTTGGAAGATAGTTCTCGTTTTTGTTACCTTGACATGGAATATCCCTATGTACGGAGGCTCATACTGCGATCATGCGATACTGAATATAGCCAAGTATGCGCTATCGGCCACGGTAGCCGAGTGGCTAGCATTGCGTACTGACATTCGAAAGACTGGGGTTCATAACCCCGGTGCCACCAACATACGAAAGTTATGGAAAATTAAGTTAAATTTTCTAATTGCGGCCGTGCCTCGGCAGGAAATGTCTACCTCTCCGAGTGTATTTCGGGCGTGAAATAAAGGCTCCTCTTAAATAAACCATCAGCCGGTAGGCTGATCAAGGTGCAAAATCACAAATTGGAGGAGGAGCTCGGCCGAAAATCGCGTCAGCGGTTGCGAAGCGCCAATTACAAAATTTTATTTCTTCCCCATACATTACAAAAAGATTCGTATGGACTATGATAACTTAACACAGCGTTGTCAGTATTGCCTATACGACTTAGGACTTATCCCGATAACCTTCTCCGCTTTTTGGCTGAAGACCTTAGCACCGAAAAAGGGAGTCATCGTAAGGCTTGAGAGAGTTCGAACTGAGGGTTATAGAAGAAGTTCGCTTGTCGAAAACTCCAAAAATATTTATATAATTTGGAGTTCGTTTGTATATATTGCAAACGTTCGTCCTGCTACTGGTTCTAAAAGTAGAAGAAAATATATTCACAACTAACTTTCCGGAGGGGGAGTAGATCACCTCACCTCTTCCAAATACCACAGCGTGTTCGTAAAGGAGAGGAGTTATACCTCACCATGATCCTTCCTGAGGACGGTTGTCACCCGTCATTATTTCGGTTTATATAAAACTTGTTATACGCTTGGGTTCGTAAAGCTAGTGGGGCTGACCGTGTCTAATTTTACAATCATTTGCAACTCGTCTATCTTGGCGAAGGCGATTAACCGCCATGTTCTTCACGTATAACTTTGTTGAGTAGTAGCGAGTTACCCTTGATTGGCGGCTCCGCACTTTGTTCTTGTGTTATTTCTGCAGTGGTCAAGCATAGTCTGGAATCCGCGTTGGCCGCATAACCAGCAAAAATTTGTCCGTGGTTTGAGGACACTTTACCCGATATAACTGCTTCGATTCGGTCGATTTTGCGATCGCTAATATATGAAGGTCATTTTTGCAAGTAATGGTTTCTTCAGGAAAAGTTCACTTACCGTTTTATAAGAGATGGATGTTTCGATCTGATCGTGCACATTCTTCATGCCAAGTCTCGATGAGATTAATCTAAGATTATAGTCAAGGATCAGTTTAATCCAACCGAAGGTCCAACCCCGAAAAGCACAGTTTTTATTTACACAAAATCGAATATTTTTCTAAATAATTTTTTGGCATCCTCTAAGCGATTATGGCCCATACCAATTCAGTGGAATTGGATTAGTTACTGTTACTTGTCCAGTTCCGTATTTCGCAACGGACATTTCAATGACGGTCTGCTAGGAATATCGTGCCCTCATAAAGTTTCTTACCAAACAAGGAAAATCAGCTGCAACCGTAATGAACGGGATATCATTGGTTTACAGCTGAATCTTGTCCGGGAAAGCCCGTGATGTACAAGTGGCACAGTTAATTCATGAACTGAATCTCTTGTAGGCGACTCGAGACCGGGCAGGAGCAGAGCGTAAGCTAAATCTTATTCAAATCCCCGCCGATACTCGACTCAAGAGTAAGCAAGTCGCAGAAATGATTGAAGTATCCGATACTGGCATGACTAAGGACCGCGCTTTGGCTGTCCAGGTCGTCTTCAATTTTTCGATTTACCCACCCTACAGTAAAAATCTGGTCCCGAGTGGTTATTACCTGTTTCCGAAAATGGAAAAAAGATGAGGGCTAAAAATTGTCCACCGATGAAGAGGTCAAGAAAGCTGTTTCGGCGTATTTCTTTGACAAAGAGAAAACATTTTTTATGAAGGCATAAATAAATAAATTGTAAGATCTGATATATTATATGTATCCGTCTTGCGGGGAGAAAAAATTTAATGGAATTCTCAGCGGGTATTGAAATCGATGAGCGCACTTTTTCGCGTGCAATCGCAAGGGTAAATTTTATTTAGAATCTCACTGTGCATATATTTATTATTAGATCAGATTTTTTTATTAAATTTGTTGGCCTTCTTTTTCTCAGAAACTTTTTTATAAAAAAAAATATACTCGGAGACTTGATATTGTATGTCTATCGAAAAAAATAAGTTAATTTATGCCTATAAGTTTGATTAGAACGCAATCCATCCACTCCAACATGTTCTAAGCCAACAAAAAATGGATTAACTTGACGGATCCTGTTACTGAAGCTTCCATAGTACGAGTTTCCTCAATTATTTTGAATGCATAGTTGGTTGAACTGGCCTTTTGGCCGAGAAGATAGTTTCTGAATGTCGATTTAGATGACTATTTAAGTTTAGATCCCTATACATCCGACGAATCTCCAACTTAATTCACTTCCCTTGCGTTGTAGGATGAGACTTGTGCATTCAATCAGAGTTATTGTTACAGTCATGGGCTAACAGGAAAGTTGATCTTTTTACCTAAATTAAGAGTTTTTTTGTGGCATAAAGTTAATCACGAAGCGGTGTTCAATCTGCCTATAGAGCATACCAAAGAGTGACTCTTTGAAAATGTAGCGGCGTCTCAACAATGGCTTACTTAACAAACGGGGTGCGCTTCATCGCTGAACAAAACTTTCTGCGAAAATCGGGCTCGGTGGTCATCCCGTTTTTGGCTCATCTACCACACGTACGACGCTCCTGATGGTCGTCCGACTTCAATTCTTGTACGGAATGAATTTTGTAAGCCCGCAAGCCAAGATCCTCCAATTGTTACGCGCGATGGCGGTTGGAATCATTCGGGTCTGCTTCGATAGTCTGCTCCATAGCAGCAATACCGGCTGCAGCGCGCATTGACCAGCGTCGCTGATGATCCGTCTTATCCACTAGAGTTAACGTGGTGCGAAATTGATCCATAGTTGTTCGAATTGCCGACTCTGCTGGACGAACCATTATTGTGGTATTAAATTTGCACTAGATGCAAACGTTGTAAATGAAGTAAGAGCTGCCAAAACTACCATTTCCGAAAAAGATATTGCGTCATTGAAAACCACAAATCTAATAAAAGGTATTTCCTATTTTAGAGGTGTTTTAAAGAAAACGCGATTGCTTGCCTCTTTTTCAGTCATAACAAATTTCTCAGATATCGAAGGGAGTTACAGGTATGGAATAGAAGCAGTCCACAACAGTGGGACGACTACAGGGAGTCCTTGCAATGTGTCTGCCTTGTATTTTGACTCAACAAGTGAATATAAACCTCAGCTGTTAATATTCTCTTGAGAGATGTTGAAATAAAAGATTTCTAGTTATATGTCAGTGATTTTCGGTTGAGCTTCTATTCCGCTGACGGATGGTTCGCCCTACAGTTTTTAAGCTCTCTCCGAACGATCGAGGTATTTTTTTAAGACATATGTCACATATGAACAAACGTTTTCTATTATTTTCGATGTCGATTTCGGTGCGGTTCGAGTCTATGATCCTACGCAAAGTAGCTATACTTTCGATTACAGCAGTCGCCAAATGTTATGGGTACGAGAATTTTTAGGTGTTTTCCTTACGTTCGCTGCTTTAAAATATCTATGAGGGTTAATAATTTCAATAAGAACTATTAAATTGATAGATTTTCCGAAACCTCATTGTTGGTATAGAAGTTATATTGGAATTATTGAATGTCGGTAAATGACAGTACTTTCACAACCATTCAAAGGGTATCATTTGAATCCACAAATCCATCCATTAAAGAAAATATATAAAACTTTATCATTTAATTCATATTTAAGGGAACCTTTTTTTAATATACGATTTAAATAAATAAAAGTTTGAATAATACGCGCAATTTTTAAATCCCTTAACTACATGTCATCTTACCTTTTCGACATAACCTTCTTTAATTAATTTTGTTTCTTTTTTTATATTCAAAACTTTTCTTACCCACACCATTATGACTCAATTGATTTACCTTTCATCAAAATCTTAAAGCCAATACTTAAGTTAATAAGTGTTTAATATCTACCTGAATGCGATAAAAGCATCGCCCATTTCACCACCGACTATGTGAACACCTCCATCCGGTATAGACAGACCTTTGAAAAATTGCCGAATATCCAATGCGTTTGCCGACCATGGCAAATTTTGCAAACGAATTATAACACTCATCTTCTATTTGTCCGAGTACACTTTGAAATTATTATTTCTATTTTATTTTATTATAGGATCAAAACATCCATTAAGCGAAAAGCCATACAATAGCTGTACGCTTCGTTCAATTATGTAAATATGAAAGTAAGTTGCCAAAAAATCCAATACGGTTAATAGTAGAGACGTCGGGAACTCTGAAAAAAATACCATAAATATTAAGGTAGCCAAAAAAAAAATAACCTTACTGTTATAATTATTCATAAATATTTACGAGAGGTATGGGATTCTTATATTTATTATGAACTTGCCATACATAGTACATAAACAGTTTAAAATACATCTCAATATGACGTATTTATACTGTTCAAAAAAAATTATTTGTATGTGCTTCACTCAGACATTAATATTATATTTTTTAATACTCGTATACATGACACAGCTGGGAGTAGTTGTAGAACCACACCGATTGCTTTGAATCGATGATGGCAGCACTCATTACGATCTTTATATCCAAAAATTAAAAAATTGAATATATATGTACGAGGTGTGTTCAAAAAGTATAGCGAATTTTGAATTCTCGCGGATTACGAATAATCGAATTTCGATTATGCTGGAGCGATTTCCGATATAAAATATTAAAACATCCTCTATTTTTGCTTTTTGTTATTGTGATTCGAAAATGTAACGTCAGCAAACAGCAAAATTTATAGCTGAATGATGGCTTGCCTTACTTTGAGTACATGTATGACCGAATAAGCGCTTGGAACGCTTTCAAAATTTGTACATTCCGGCGAAAGCGGTAATCGTGGTTACTGCATCTAATGTCGAAAGCACTGAGCAATAAAATATTGATCTATAAGAAACTTTGCAGTGTTTCAAGTGCTTCAAGCAAAGCTACCATACGTTCTACAAGGTTATTCATTTCGTGGTTTTTAAATTACAGGGCTGTATTTTGACATCTGTCAAACCGAACCGATCGCTTCGTGGTTTTCGAAGAAGTTCTTTCAGAAATACAACTCGGAGGGGTTGACATTCCTTGCTGAGAGGCTACCGTTATTATAAAATTTAACTTAATTTTTTTTAAATTTTTTATTTAAATTAATTTTCTAAAATGTTGAATATTGTTCGAACCAGACTTCGAAACCTGGCTTTCAGCATGGCTAATATGGTAATTTAGATGTGGCCAACTTTAGTGCTCTAAGAGATTTAAGTGCAATTGACAACGTTTTAAAGAAATTTTAAGAAACTTGGTCGATTACAGATATTGTAACCGTTTTGCTCGTTCAACCTAAAATATCGCCACTGCAATTGAAGGTGAGCCCGAATACGCGAATTTGACTATTTTTCGAAGTTCTCAAGAGCTGAGACCTTCTTACGGCACATTATATATTGTATATAATTGGCGCTTTGTAACTATTGAAGCGATTTTCGGCCGAGTTCCTCCTCCAATTGGTGGTTTTGCGTCTTGATGTTGTTCCAAGAATACCACATTACTTACACATATATCCAGATAAAGACTAGCTTACACAACTGCAACCAGCTGACTATTCACAACGCCATAAATACGTGGATTGGGTGCTTGAACAAGAAGCAGTAGATGGCGATTTTTCGAAAAAACATTTCGAGCTTCTTTGTGTATCCAACATTTTTCAAGTGGTTCTAAACTCGCAGGACGATCAGACTTGACGATTTCCATTATTTCATCGACATTTTCGACAATTGGCAGGATCCTTTACTCCAAAATTACCGCATCGAAATCAAAATAGTGCATGACCGAATGTTAGCTTTAGTATAAAATATCACCTTGCTAACGCGCTCTGGCCTAATACAATTTATAGGACGCGAGATACTGAACATTAAAGCCTTCTCTTGCAAAAATACATAAAATTGATCACTTTTTATTACCAATTTTATTCAATATTTGAACAAGTTTCACCAAATCTTTTGCATATTTTCCCCTAATTTTTAAATGAAACAAAAAAGAGGAAGCGAAAGAAAAAAAAGCTTGTACGGGCGGTAAGTAAGACGAGGCCGCGGAAAACCATACATTTAATCACAAGTTGATTTTTATTCCTACATAGAGCGATGTTTAACGGCAAAACTACAATATATTTATGTACATAATTAACACTTTCAATAAAAATGTGGACAGTAATAAATCATACAGCATCGCTAAAGATCCATTTACAAATATCGACAAAACAACAAAACTCTACTCCATATTACGGTTGGCGCCTTCAACACTAAACGACATCCACTTATTAAAATCGGTATTGCCGTAGTTGTCACCGATAACTACGACTATTGACAACCATTGACACATATTTGGTATTACCTAAACGGAGACGCTGTCGGCTCTATATTTAGGAACGACTAAAAAAATTTGTTAGCATATATGTTTTTCCTTAAAAAAATGCTGGTAGCTAAATTAAATTAAATTATTTTGTTGCATGTGTCTTTAACTGATCATTTAGATATTGCAAATGGTTTGTTTTTAACCACAGCTTCTAAAAAAAAAAAAAAACCTTTTCGATAGTTGATCTCGCTTTTTTGGGAGTTAAAATGACATGGAACTAGAAACCCCATTGATCGAAAGGGGAAGTCGTATTCAATACTTTAGTTCTTTTATAAAATCACATTCTATTTTGAAATTTGAGATACATACATTATATCGATTCCACTTTCGAATTTCGAACAATTATATCCAGGACATACTTAAAAGTATTTTTTTTATGAAAAGGGTCCTTAGAATTGGAAATAAAAGTATATTACATAAAACTCCAATGAAAATCAAACAAAAATATAAAATAGTTGGTGTATTATGGCATAATGAAGTTTATATTATCGATAAACTGTGGATGTTGCTTCATATAACGTTAACCGATGTGACGTCGATAAGCTTTAAGTTTAGTTTTCCTCAAATATTTTTAGTGATACGAGGTGTGTTCAAAAAATATCGCGAATTTTGTCTTTTTTCAAAAATTATTTATTTATTCATGAATATCTATGTTGTCCCCTTCAAAGTTATCCCAATGAGATATTAAACACTTGTGCAAACGGTTTTCACAACCTTCGAAGCACTTCAAAAAATCATTTTTTTTTTTATCTTGTTCAGCTCCTCCTTCGATGCCGTCTTTATCTCGTCAATCGTAGCGTAACGTCGTCCTTTCAAGGGCCTCTTCAGTTTAGGGAACAAGAAAAAGTCACAGGGGGCCAGATCTGGGGAATACGGTGGCTGCGGCATCATTAGTGTGTTGTTTTTGACCAAAAAGTCGCACAAAAGCAACGATGTGTGAGAAGGGGCCTTATCGTGGTGCAAAAGCCTATTTTTGTTCCTCCACAAATCCGGGCGTTTCTGGCGTATTGCTTCGCGCAAATTGCGCATAACTTGCAGGTAATATTCCTTGTTGACCGTTCTACCCTGTGGCAATATCATTTTCTCCACTTAATTAATTTTTTCGTCTGTTGTTGAAGTGCTCGGGCGTTCGGCAAGCTCTTCGTCGTTCACATCCTCTCGGCCTTCTGAGAACTTTTTTTACCACCGATAAACGTTGCTCCGGTCCAAGGTAGCTTCTCCGTAGGCCACAGTCAACATTTGGAATGCATCCGCGCACTTAATTTCGTTTTTCACACAAAATTTGATACATGTTCTTTGATAAATTTTTTTGAATAGGTAAAAATCAAAGACCATCCAAAACACGTGCAAGCAAAGAAGCTGCCAACAATTAAGTGAACATTCAAAATGGCCGAGCTTGTCGACATAAGTGACAGACATGAGTACCAACATAACGCCACAAAAAATTCAAAATTTGCGATACTTTTTGAACACATCTCGTATAGTTCCGGAATCCCTTGATCATTATACATACATTATATCTATCCTCAATGATCGCCAAAGCAGATTTGTCAATTGACCTTACTGATCTTCATGTCAAGATTTAGAATTTATCGAGTACTGTTTACGTCGGCACCACATTGAGGTTTACAGTTTTAGGAACTCTGTCACTTTTATTCGAAATAACAATCGGCTTAAGTAAACTGGACTTCAGATAGAACGATCATCTTTTCTTGAAGGTATATTCGTTCCAGTGGCTCTTTTATAGATTCCGACACAAAGTTTGTACGAGCTTACCTTTGAAGGATGTTTTTAGAGGTCTTTATATACAGAAATCGTCTGCGAACTATTATCCTTATTATTGGCTTAAACACCGCTTGCTTCCCTGATTGTAGCCCAATCATCAATGGCGTGTCAGCTGTTTTTTATTTTTGGTGTAGATAGAAACTAAGTCCCTTTCCACTAGTCCGAAAAAGAAGATATCTCCCTCTTTTTGTTTCTTCTTCGACGGGTACTGATCGAATACAAACTCTCAAAGCAGGAGTTTTCGTCCAAAACACGACATGACTTTCTATAATTGGCTATTTGTAACCGCTGAAACCATTTTCGGCCGAGCTCTTCCTCCAATCTGTTGTTATGCGTCTAGATATATTCCCAACAAATGGGGGGACTTACAGTTTATACTAAGTCGCCACCGACCGGCTGATGCTTTTTTATGAAGAGCTTTATTTTAGGTCTGAGATATATTCGAAGGGATTCAAAATCCCTGCCGAGGTTCGACCGCAGTTAGAAAATTTAACTTATTTTTTATTTCAATAAATTTTCTATCAACTTTTGGATGTTAGTCATTCCAGGATTTCAACCCGGGCCTTCCAAATGGCAGTACGCAATGCTAGTCACTAGACTTTTGCGGCCGTCTCATAGCTTACTAAGACATTAACTCATCGTTCTGTGATCGACGGTATTTGCCGATGCCAACACGCAAAGGGCCATAAATTCTGTACATAAGCTTTACATCGAAAACTCTCCGTGCTGACTCATTAAACCTTGTCGGTTTCCAACCCCCCGCCGAAATGAGAAGAGACTTGTCTTGAGCTTGGTCTTTCTGCCACGCAGTTCTAAGTAGCAAAGTGGTGTTAATAATGTTGGTTCCCAGGTTAGACGGAATGGCGAATGCACTGCCTATTTGCTTGAGACAAGAGATGTTTCGTCTTGCCCTCGCCCGCAGACAGACTCATTCGCTTTGCCTACTTGTACAGTTTGCAGATAGCAGAACTAATCGCTCATGATTGTCGTCCGGTTTTTACATTAAGCAATAATTTCATACTACTAATACACTGGAAGATATTGTTAATCCAAGCAGTAAAGCGGTGAAAATACAGATTTTGTTTTTGAAAGCTTATTGTAAACCACTTTCCTCGCAGTTTCCTATTTTAAAATGTCGCTCCGTACTTGCTGGAGTAGTAACCTGAACTGATTTGTGTGTTAGTGTTTGTAAGTCCGAATGTAAAGCGGTCCATCATGACAAACATTAACACCTTTAAATTAAAATTTGTGAAAACCTGTGCTGACATCATTATTGATTTACAATGTTTAATGCACAACACTAAGTTGCTTTTCCTCATTAGGCCCGAATAATTATAAGCAAATACACAGCCAATCCCAATATGCAATGTCCAGTGATTCCGGCACCTCTCTATTATAATGATTATAAAGAAAAGACAAGGAAAGTTAATTTATGGTATCGTCGAGTGTTTCGAACAAACGAACGAACCAACGAACAGGCTCGTATATAGACAAGTAATGAGTGTGATGGTTACAATGTATTGTATTACGCACGCAGACCTAGCAGACAAGTTGTTGACGGGAAACAAGTTTCGAAGATATTTAAAAAGCGGCGCACATTACGAAGCAATTCGAGCGAGATAACGTAATTCGCGAGCCATTAGACGAAGTGTCTGCAAGAGTGGACACAACAAGACGTAATTTACCATTGCATCTTTCTGAAGATCATTCCACTGATATTGGCACGAGAAGAGCATTAGAGTTCATTATAAAACTCGTAAAGGAAATCATTTTCTTTCTTACCATTACGTATAAAAGCTGTTACCACACATTGTGGGCGATTATATCGATTCGATCGCTTGTGGTAAGGCTGGCAAACGGTTCAAAAAATTCGCTTCAAACAAAAAGGATAACTCAGTGGGATTAGTGAAAATGAATTTTTGCATTGTGAGTGTTAGAAAAAAAACTATAAATAATTAAGTTTCAAAAACAAAGCAAATAAATAATAAAAAAAAAAAACAGATGTACATTTAAGGACATTTACCGAACACTCACGATTGTGTGTAAAACTGAAATTTTTCTTTAAATTATTAAACAATTTTATTGTATTTTTATACAAGGAAAATCCTTGCAGTGAAAAACAGTGACGGCATTTTGAAGCCCTCTTTGGACTCTGAAGTTTAGTTAAGCTCCCGAGCGGCGTTTCATAGTTTCAGCCAAAAGTGATGGCCGGTAATAGCGCTCCTCGTGGAAAAGATATTTTGGTATCTGCAATTAAGTCACTAAAATTCCACCTTACCTACCTTGTGAAAGAAAATATATGTATGAGGCCTTGGGCTAGCATATTTTCTAATTAATGTGAAATTGTTTGGGCTATATGGAAGGGATCCTTCGGAGCCAGACAGCTCTCCAACGTTTGACCATTTTGGTTTTGAGCTAAGCTGGGTTACTAGCGAGTGATCTATTATTACACTTTTCCTAATAATCTAACTAATCAGCAAGTATCTAAGATACATATGCAGAATTTTCTGAAGATAACATGGCTTCGGTATGTCCGAAAAGTTTAGACGGAGCTCATTTATTTAATTGAATTTTGGAGTTCTGTGAAACGGTGAAATAAAGTAAATTATACTAAATATGTATTGGAATAATTCGAAAGGAAAAGTTGAGGACGAGACAATAGTTCTGTTCGGTGAGCTGAAGGGCAGTAACAAATAACAAAAGTTACTGAATTTTACTGAACTGCGTTCGGTGAGCAAATCCCCTTTACTAAAACAAAGAAATTTAATGTTGTAAGCAAAGTGTTCTCACAGTGTTTCCGTGAAAATATTTCAAGTATGAGCGTATGAACATATAATTGACGATGCTATGTATATACGGCCAAATTTCTTCTTAAATTTGTGTCATGAATAGTTGGAGTCTTTTCAACAATTAGAAGAATCGGCAGTTTTTCCAAGTCGCCTCCGAGCGGCAGACGGATTTTTACGAGTTGGTTTTATTTCTCGTAAGAAGTACAAGATTTTCTGCCTAAACCGAGTGCATTAGGGCCAGGTTTCTCTAAAAAAAATTGTCAAAAAATCTATTTTTTCCCCTGTAAATTGCTAAAAAAAAAAAAAAAAAAACTCTTAGAAAAAATATAGAATTAGTTCCGAAGGTCCGCAAGACTAAGAAATAAGTACAGGAGTAGGGAGAGCAGAGCGCGCTGGGCGGTAAATCGAGCACCTTTTTCGCGAAACCACTTTTCTCAACTGGGTAACACTCTCATTTAGAACATATTGAACTTATCGACATAAACTAACCGGTATGTTACTCCTGAAATGTCCCTCTATGGTCGGTACTAAATACAACCGAACATACTCATTGCTATTTAAAAAATGTATAAACAATTCGAATGAAAAAGGAGTAAAACATTAAAAAAAAAGTCCGCAATTTTTTTTTGTGTGAAAATATTTTGTTGCAGTTCCGCCAATCTGATACAAAATAAGAAACCATTTTGATTTTTGCTTTTAAGTTATTCGTTTTACTGTTATCGTGTCACTTACATACAAAATGGGCGTGTTTCAGCAGAAGTTTAAAGCGCCGGCATTTAAGAAAACATTTTTTTTTTCATTTATTATTTTTCTTATACAAAAACTTTGCTTTTAAATAAATAAAATTTGTTTATCATAATAAAAACACGTGTTTTGGGTGGGCTTGGTCTTTAAAAACATATTTTAGATATTAAAATGATTAGGGTTCTCACTTACGACCCTCCATTTCGAAGCACGCACTACTCTCCAGCTGACTTTTTAGAAATTCGTTGTAATTTTTTTAATTTTCATCAACTGTTTTTTTTTTTATCGATTAGTCGATAATTCGTTGATGTACTGATGACGATAAAGATAGGGAAATCAAGCGAGTTACACAAGCTTCAACACACACACACTCATAATTAACGTTATACTATAATTAACACTTCTTTCCTCCCCGAAAAGAAGTACGACTATTTCATATTAGTAATAAAATAAATTTTATTCATATTTAACTTTTAATACATAAACAAGTGTTAAAAGCTTCAAAGCACATATACATATGTACATACAACTGAAAAGGCGACATTATACCGAACTGTAGATTTGTTCGTCACTTCGTAAGGTTCAAATTGTTATATGCCCTTCGCATGATAGTTAACTTATTTTTTTCGCTCCAGTTTTGAAACAATCCAGACACGCCAAACATTTCATTTTTTTATTATTTCAACCCTATTTTAGGTTACGGAAAAATCTTATAGACAAATGTAGCTTTCAATTTTCAAGATAAACCTTTTTCAACATGTCTACATATGAAACACATTCATCACAACACAAAATATACTTACAGGACCATGAATACTTCCAACAGCCAATATCGAAATCACACTCTTATTTATAGCCAATATTTTTCCAACCATACATTACAACCATTTCCGTTATTTTGAATAATTTATTTCTTATACTATAATCCGTTCAGTCAATAGCAGTCAAATGTACTTTACACCTAAAGGGTGATTTTTTAAGAGCTCTAGCAAAGTTTTGAAAAAAAAACACATGAAATATTTATTTGAATCGATATTACGGTCCATATAATTTAATGTTTGAAGATTATTTCATGCAAATATTGACCGTGACTGCGTCTCAAATTGTCCATCCACTTAGTTCAATTTTAGCATACTCTTTCCAACATTTCGGTCGATATCTCACGAATATTCATTTACTTCAATGTTGTTCTCCAATGTGTCAATTGAAGCGGTTTTGCCTGTGTAAACTTTAGATTTGACATAGCCCCACAAAAAAACATCCAAAGGCGTTAAAAAGCACGATTTAGGCGACCAATTGACCTCGCCTCTCAATAAATCCATTGTTACGCGTGCTGTGTGGCATGTGGCACCGCCTTGTTGAAACCACATGTCATGCAAATCAAGCTCTTCGAAGCGCGCTATGAACTTTCTTAACAGAGCACGCATTTTGATAATAAAATTCAATAATTTGCAAGTGTTGTTCGTTAGTAAGACGATTAACGTTTAAATTATAGACCAAACTGAAAATGTTTGCCATTGATACAAAACACGAGACGTGCGTCAGCTGTTTAAACCAGTGTTGCCAAAAGGATAATAGCTAAAAAAAAAAAATCACCCTTTATAATGCAAGCGTCAACTAACGGCAGAAAAGCCTTCAGCATTTTAGGCGATTATATTTTATTGCATAAAAAAAGAATCCAATATCAAAAACTTACTTCTATCTATTATTTCATTACGGTGCAGATGCACAGCACTAATATAATCGATAATCGCTGAATATTCGTTTTATCTACTTCTAGTCGATACTCAAATCGGGTGAATTAGAGTTGGGCATACAATTTTCAGTATTACACAGGGTTATACACTTTGAGGTTTCGAAAATAAATTTATTTAAAATGAATTTCAATTAAGCTTTTCATGAAATTGCTTCTTTACTTTAAAGATTTATCCTTGACACTATATGTAAAACACTATCAACGAGTCAAGTGACAGTCTCGCGTGTTTTTCAAAATTTTTTTTAATCCGCTTCAAGAGATTTTCGAGATTTTTCGACACATATTGGGCGGTATCTCAGCCATAGCCAGCGTTTACCCATGCACTTTAGAAACTCCGAAAAGGATAACTCTATATAATCGCTAGTCTCTAAATTATCCTCATACTACTTCGATACGTAAAATGGGTGGATTTGAGTTGGGCATATAAAAAATGCATATTTTTTGCAAATTTTTTGGGTTATATTCCAATAGGCTTTAGTTGCTGCGGACATCAGCACTGGAAAGTGAAGTCTCTTTCAGCGAGGTCTAATGGAAGATTTTTTTGTGGGTAGGTCGTCCGCTAAGAAACGAGTGAGTTGTCCCGAATGTGCAGGAAGTTTAGAAATTACGCGGTACAGTTCACGGAAGCCCCAAACATCATAGACATTTCCTTCTTAACTAAGAGCATAGATGACTCGCAATGTAGATGATATTTAGGTGATATTAGGACGTAATCTATTGTGTTCCCCAAGCTGTGCTCTGACAGGATTTCTGTTTCCTTTATTTGCGTCTCGTTGATCCTAGCCTACAAATCACGACTGTCCAATGTCACTCTTAGTATCCTTGTGTTTTTGAATTTTGACGACCTCGACCTTAAAATTTAGGCCAAGTCGCTATACCTTCAGCAAGCTGTTGAAGTGGTTCGTAAGTTTTGAAATAAATGGGGAAAGGATGGAAAGAAAGTAGTTTACTTTTAAAGGACGTTATCAAAATACTGGTGGTGGAGCCACCCTCTGTTGTTGGAAGGAGCTTCGATATTATAAATATAGGATATGTTTTATATTGCTTACTTCTCCTTATTTTAGAGTAGTGAGATGCGTTCATGGCTATCTCACGGTACTTATCACGTTTACGATAATGAAAGGGTGTAACGGCGTTTTTGGTAAATCTTGTGAAGCCAGTTCGATAGGCTTTATTGAAGTTGTTATATTTCCGATGATCCGGGGAAACAGTCGTGAGGCCTTTCAAACGAGACAATTATATGCAAATAGTCTGATGCGAAGGTTAGCAGAGGACGTCAAGTTATGTTAGTTATCAGGCCAGTGCTAGTACTTTGCAACCGTTGAAACGGAAGCGTTTTGCGGACGAGCTCCTGCGCTTCGATTTATAATGTGGGTCTTGAAGTTCTTCCAGCAAAATGTAGTTTCAACTAAGCCGCTTGCGAACGACTGTTTTTTTACGAGTAGCTTTTGTTTTATATCAGAAATACATTCCGAGGGGCGACCGCAATTAAAAAAGATAATATCTTATCTATCTCTTCCACTAGCTCATTTTTTAGAAACATTTTCCCATTTAATAAACTAGGAGTCGTTTCCAGGCCAATCAGATGGCAAGCTATGATCACAGACAGATATTATACAGAATGCGGTCAATGAAAATTTTGAATAACTTGAACGATTTTCAATGAATTTTGATCAACTTTTTTATTATCAAATTTTATGCCTTTTTTTCGGCATTTTCCATGACATTTGCCAGCATCTCGGGCGATATAGCAGCGATTTCACTTCAAACATTGTTCTTCAGCTCATCCAAAGTGTTTTTCAAAAAGCCCCGCAAGAAAGTCTGGTGCAGTCAATATCCCCTCCTTTCGATGCCACACATCCGAGGAACTTTTGCCGCAAGAATTTCACCGTTGACTCCGCTGTGTGAGTTTCCTGTTAGTCTCGAAGCTCGAAGCCAAGCGACAAATAGTGTCACAATAACTGAACGATTGCACTCAAAGTACATTGTAACTATTTCCGCACGTTCTTTGAACGACCTTTTCAAAAAGCTTTTACTGCAATCGGTTGAAATCTGTCAAAATTATTCAATGTTTCCATCGACCACATATAATCAAGGGATGTGTATCAAAATTTTTGGGCTAATTGGGATAACTTCTCGCTTCAGCGTAGTGTTGTTCGGAGTCGGTACAGTCTAAGATATACATCCCGGTGCTTCGTATCAAAATTTTTTTTTTTGCATATTTAACTTCTAAAAGGTACGGATAGTGTTGTAAGTTCATTAGTGATGCGTTGATTGCGTCTCGTGCTTTTCGGATGCAATATGGAACTCACATAGTTGACATTTTTTAGTATAGCAATATGGCACTGTAAATGACGTTTTCGAAGTAGGTAGGTGGAAAACGAAGAAAGGAATTACTTTTTAGTCCACAAGGTAGTTTTATGAAATACTAACCGAACATTTGCGATTTTCGATGAAATAGTTCCATTAACTATATTTATGGCAATGAATGCCGGTTTTTGCGGCAGTGAGTCTCTATATACCTCAACTCTCCTTATTTTCTCTATCATCATCATTTTTTCCTATCATATCATCCCGTAGCCAATTCTGCCTTGTGTTCTCCATCTATCTGCACCATGCTATTTTTTCAAAGTGCAAATGGAGCCCTCTTCTGCCATCCCAATCGACCTGACGTGCATGAAAAGTTGTTCCTGGAACTTATTTATAGACACGCAAAATTTATTCTCCAGCACACAATTCTCGGTTTAAATCTTATTCTTCGATATCTATTTTGTTAGGGCTATATCCATGTGGGTACTTTGTTATGAGGCCCAATTAAGTGCTCCGAATCAGCGCTGGTATTTTAGATTTTTCCAACTAAATTTAACAGCTTATTTCGTTAAGCGAAAAAACAGGAAATAAAAGCTGCCTTCCGCCACGTTGCGTTAGATGTCCACCTAATGAAACGATGCCATTTCGTTTTGATAATATGAAAAATAAACTTAACGAAATGATTTTGCTTCGTCTCGACGCCATGTAAATGTTGAACCGCACTCACTCAAGGTTAACGCTAATTTTAAAATGGCTGCTTGCTCTGACATTGACAGCACGCTTTAATCTTAACGCTTAATATTATCTGTTAACGATTTAACATTAACCATGGCACTTCGTTGGCGATAACATTCTATATGTTTCAACCGAACCGATAGATTTTTTTTTGTTTAAGGTGAAATTGCTTGCTCTATACTTTTAATGTCCGTAGCAAAATTTATGGTATTCATGGTAGGACTAAATATTAATTATCATGGCTAAATGAGTAAGTCTTCGGGTTTTGATGATATAGTTCTTCGATTTTGATGGCAATGTTTATTTGTATACATGCGTAACGGCCCTAACGACAAATGATCGTTTATATGTATCAGTAGATCTGAATGTGTGTTTGCTTGGAAAGATTCAAAAACTGGTTGATTAGTTTGCGTACAAACCGACGGATATGGCTAAATTAACTCCACCCGTTATTCTGCTTAAATCGGCTCCCCACTAACTGCGAATGGATGACACACTTTTCGCAATTTTCTAATGGCGGCGGCAAAAAATTTGTAAGAGTTCAGAGTTTTGAATCCAACATATCGAAAGATTTAAGTGTAGTTAAGTTCCACCTGGCATGTAACATGGATATGCTCAAATCTACGCGCTTGTTATTCCTTTCATCGCATTAAAGTACATTATTGAATGGCGAAGTTTTTGTTAAACTTACCGTATGCTTCTCCTACTATTATTACTAAATCACTTAATGGCATTCTCTTTTCCTTTCCAGATATATTCATTCATAATAATTGTACTCACACTTGTTGATGCATCTACAATATTTAAAAATAACCACAAAACCAATGTGGAAGATTTAGATATATTCGACGAAAAAATAGCCGAGCCAAGATCTGTGGGTCAAGTCAAAAGGGACACCAGTCTTAGTTATGCAGCAACAAATATTGATTCCAAGGCGGGTACTCGTGTGAAAACCATAACCGTAATTAAAAATCACAGTGGAAAAAATAATGGGAAATTAGTTATTAATCCTGCTTTACATAAAAATGAAGAATGGGCTAGCGCTTTTAGGGATAATTTCGATTCATATGGCGGTATACCAGATGTGCCGGATATAGACGATCTCTTCGATTTTGTAAAAAAGAAGGATAAGAGTGATAAAAATGAGGATAAAAAAGAAGTAGCGAAGTCAAAACCAAAAGAAAGTGGAAAAAAAGAAACGGTAAAACCGACTGAGGAAGCCTCGTCGGAAATTGAGGCAACTACAGAAGCAACAGTGCAAAAAATAAAAGGTGATGCGGAAATTATACCTGGATTAAAAAAGAATCAAACAAATGCACGTTCACAATCGTTGGGTTTAGGCAAAGTGCCGACACGTGAACCATTAACTAATACAAATTATAATATAACAGAAGGATCTAAAAATATTTTTTTTGAAAAATATATACAAGAAGTTCCGAAAGGCTATGATTATCCCAAGCCGTGTCCACAAGGAGGAAAAGGTGTTGTCAGCATTACAAATCCTTCTTCCGGTCGCTCATATGAAATACCAGTATCAGAAGATTCGCCAGCGACGCCATATCTTGCACCTTCGATTAACAAGAAAACTCAAGTGCTGGGATCTCAACCACAAGTGAATAGCACGCAAAGTGTAGCATCTACATTTGTGCGTCCAAATTTTTCCGTTAATTCAATTTTACCATCGCTGCAACCAGCGCCAGGAATTACTGCAGCTTTCCCAGGTAATCAAGGCTCACAGCCAGCACAAATACCACAGGACCAAGGTGTGGGCTTTTACACCAGTCAACGTCCATATATTGCTCCCAATTTACGGAATAGCTTTAATGCTAACGGTTTTACGACTTTGCGACCGTTATATAGAAGTGAAATAACAACTTATCGTGGAAACACATATTTGCTTGGAGCAAATAGAGGAAATGTGGGTAGATCGCGTGGTCTAAAATACTGATAAGATTGTATAAGTATATTTTTCATAGATACATATTCAAATATTGTTTTTTATCTTATAAATAAAACCATTTATCGTTAATAAACAAAAGTAACACCAGTAACGAACAATATTATTCAAGCAATATAAGAAATTACATTAGTACAATGATTACTTGGGGCATACGAAACGTTGTTTTTATAAAGAAAATTTTAGTGTCTCGCTATTTCCTTTATTTCTTACATACATATTTAATGTATGAGCGAGAGAAAACACATACATAAATAAAAATGTTAATTTTAACTGATTGTAAAATTTATGAAAATTGTTAGTTTAAGAAGTTTTAATAAAGAAATACGAAAAAAGCTCCAGGAATTTTTGGTTTTAATCAGAGTGAAAATAAACAGTTGTTTTTTTTATATTTTTGAATGTATCGATCAGAAATTTACTTAAATGAAAAATTCAAAATTCCGCAGTCATCTCTCTTATACAAGTCACTTTCATTTTTATAATGCTAGTGAATTTAATCCATTAACATAGCAAAATCTGCGAAATTCTTGAATTTTATCAACGATATAAACATAACATGCATTTGAATTATCAAAGATTTATTGGTGAGGCCTTTAATATTAGCGGCTACTTGTTAAAAATTGTTTGCAGGGTACGTAAAAACATACTTACATTATATTAAACACCTCTGCGATTGTACATTTCTGCCATGTTTGTATATTTTTTTTTAGCATTTAATTATCTCAGGAATATTTACAATTAAATTAATAGAGAATTTCTTACAATATTTTTTAAATATATTTTAATTCATGGCAGAAAATTGAGAAATAATATATAAATAAGACGAGTTGAAACAGTCAAACTGTTAGTGTAATTTGTAACCTTACCGAAAAATATTTTATAACGTGGTAAAGTAGAGCACAAATTTGGTAAGGTTAGAAACATACTTAGCACATCTGCTGATATGCAAGGATTCATTCAGAGTGCAGTAATTCACAAAATTTTTTCCTTGCTAAATTGTAAATGATAAATGAGTTATCACCAAGGAAATGTTAGATAGAAAGAAAAGGAAAATCTTAATTCATATTCATTACAGATATATACAACTAATGGAATTTTAGTGTTAATGAGCCAATTGTTTCACTTCAGTGCGGGCGAACAATAAACCTTCATCTATTTATATTAATATAATTTAATAATCTTCAACTTCCATGTAGCCCACTCCACTTTGCATGTTTTGCAGAAAAGAAAGCAGCAAACAGACGATGCCATGGCAGTCAAACATTTGCTCAATAGAATAATCCATAAAATTTTCGTTTCACGAGCCAAAACCGAATAACTTTCATTAAATTATACACGGGTTATGTATAATTATCAGTATCACATATATTATTAGAAACAAAAAAACATTTGGTTACACTAAATGTTCAATCGTAGGTGCTAGGCGGAAGCTCAGAAAAATGGTAAGTATCTACTTTCATTGCTTCTGGCGTCGCTATAGAGGCGTTGTTAAGCGCCCAAACGCCAGCGTCACATTTTCACTCTAGTTACGAAATATTCATTTTCTTTTAGAAACTTTTATCGAACTTTACTCACCACTAAAACTAAGAACAAACTGAAAATATACTAATCCAAAGAATCCACTATTATATGAATGTTTTTTATGCCCAAAATATATTTATTAATGTAGCAAAATTAGTTTTTCTATGTCCAGTAGAAATTTTTTCGCAGCAAGAAAATCTTTTGTATCCTAATTTATTTTAACAAATGACAGATATAACTTTCGTTAAATTTATAAGTAGCCAACACTTATGTTGCTCAGAGTTGCCACAGCTAAGGTGGCATTAATGTACAGCCTGTAGGTCTGTAGCCTGATATACTGTACAATAGGTGGCATTCCTAAAAACGGGCGTGTTGTCTAAGGGCGATATGATCACGTGAACTTAAGAACTATTTGAAGAATTGCTTAATCATAATAGATAATAACAACTTTTTTAAAAGTGATTTATGTTAAATAAAAAAATTTAATTTTTTTTTTAAATATGTTTACAGCATTCAACGAAACTCAGTGTTGCATGTTGATTGTGACAGTGCGAACATGCTTAAAATAGATAAATAACGAAAGAAATTTCCACGACATCTGGCGGTAAAAAAATGAGTACCCTTTGTTTTGGCAACACTGCAAATCAAATCATTTCGTATTTATTTTTCATAGTAATCAGTGGGTTTTTCCTTCAATAACTTCGTAAAGTGGTTTTTGAAAAAATAAAAAATCGTACAATTGTTTGAACATACATAATTATGCACAAATGACAAATAGTTAACGCACAAAATAAGAAGTTACTTGTTTTGAAACTTTAATAGTGCATTATCGTAAAAGCAGTAAAGTGTATTTGCACAAATCGCAAAGCCAGAAAGAAAAACGTCATCTTTTTTGTTCAATTGATTGGCTGGCGACTACGACGAATAAAGTCGCACCAAGAAAAAAAGTGTTCGCAATAATAGAAGAAAAACATAAATAGTTAAAAAAGTAATTAGTGGTCCATTTCAGTTTATTAAAAAAAAGTTTAAAAGGCAATAAAAGAGGAAATTTAAAACTTAATAGCAGCAAAATCAAAACCAAACTATCTAAATACAACACGCAGATAAACAAGGTTAGTGTAAATTGGAAAGTTATAAAACAATGCAATAATGTGTACAGAAAACGATTGAAGTCAGTAAAATGGTTTGATACATACATATGTATGCCTGGATGTACATATGTACATCTGAAAATAAAATTTGGCTTCGAAATTAAACCAATCTTTTTGATCAAACTAGCAAATTAAAGATGATGTATGTGGTGCAAAGGGATATTTTGTAAACATATAAGCAGTTCATAAGGTTATTATTGAATACTCAAAATATAATATCAAAATCGAAAGGCTAATGATCTCCACATTGCATTCCAAAGCTTTATACTTTTGGAAAGCTATCACTTGTTTCCCTTAAAACGCTCCTTTCTATCCAGGTGTTTACGTTATCTGTGTTAAAATCCATTTATTATGTATGTGGTAAGTGCATAACAGCTGGTTATGTACATAGCTACAAAACACTGATTGGTTGTTTTTCCAACACTTGCAATACAAACTTTTTTATACCGATTGCCTAATACAGAAACCAGCTGTGTTTATACATTTTGTCAAACCCGATCTTGCTCTTTAATTTGATTTTCCTTATACATTCATTATATATTAATTTAGTAAATATAACGCCTTTTTCCGTCATTCCACTGTGCTTATTATTCACATTACTTACTATGTACAAGTACCACTAAATTTTGCAATGAATTTTTTTAAATTCAGTTTTTCTATCACAATTGTATATTTAAATAATGGAGCATTTTTTCAGTCGTCAAAAATAGCTTTCTTTTTTCCTACTTATTAGTGCAAAATTTATAAACATACGAGCTCATATATTTATTATAATGGGTGATTTTTTAGCTATTAACTTTTTGGCAACACTGGTTTAAACAGCTGACGCACGTTTCGTGTTTTGTATCAATGGCAAACATTTTCAGTTTGGTCTATAATTTAAACGTTAATCGTCTCAAAAACGAACATCGCTTGCAAATTATTGAATTTTATTATCAAAATGCGTGCTCTGTTAAGAAAGTTCATCGCCAGCTTCAAAGTCTTTTTTTGACTTAATGGGTGCGTAAATAAGCAGAATTAACATTGCATCCAGAAAAAGTCACCGTTTAATGAGGTTTATGGGCTGGTTGCATCATTTGACCTTACTTGTTCAAAGATGATGCGAAGCGCTACCATGAGGTGATATCAAACTCAATGTTGCTCAATATACAAGAGCTTGACCTGTTTGACGTGTGGTTTCAACAAGACGGTGCCACATGCCACACAGCACAGCACGCTTAACAATGGACTTATTGAGAGGCGAGTTCGGTGAACATTTTATTTAACGTTCGGGATCGGTCAATTGGTCGCCTAAATCGTGCGATTTAACGGCTTTGGATATTTTTTTGTGGGTCTATGTTAAATATAATGTCTATACATACAAACCCGCTTCAATTGACACATTGGAGAAAAATATTGAAGCATTTATTCGTGAGATACCGACCGAAAAATTGGAAAGAGTGTGCCAAAATTCAACTAAGCGGATGGACCTTTTGAGACGCAGTCACGGTCAACATTTGCATGAAATAATCTTCAAACATTAAATTTTATTTTTATGAACCGTAATATCGATTTAAATAAATATATAAATTTTTTTATTTTTTTTTTTTACTTTTTTTTATTTTTTTTTATTTTTTTTTTATTTTTTTTTTATTTTTTTTTTGTCTAAACTTTGCTAGAGCTCTTAAAAAATCACCCTTTACATATATATTTTGTCATGTCAATATTTTGACATTAACATGTTCATTTTTGTGTGTGATATATGTATATGATTATGTATGTAGGTACAAGTTCATATATATCAATAACTACTTTTTAAGTAGTAGTTACTAATGTTGTTAGTTCACCTTTATAGGTATCTTTATCGATTAACTTTTGATATACCTTACATACACACCTATACATACAAATTGAAGTTTACTGTTTTATTTATTTATTTGTCTTTTCGTTTACTGTTTGACCGTGAATAGTTTATTACGTTTTCTCGTTTCCTACCAACATCAACAACGCATCGTTGTTAACAAATGAGAGTAAAAACTTTTATTTCCACAAGACGAGTTGGCAACTCTATTATAGAAAGTAAATTCAAACGATGATAGTCGGAGTAACCAAGATATTATAGCTTTGGGATACAAAAAAGCAACGGAGTTTTGGGTGACTATCTTTTGTAATGCGACGAGATGATATTACTGTATGGAGTTTTCTTTAGGTAACCACGAGCTTTTTTATCCGATTTTTCGTACTGCATCCTTCCGTAAACAGAACCAAACGAAAAGTGACTTATTTTCTACGGAAACTGCCAAACTCCAGCGCAGCAATACTCGATATCAAGCGGTTATTAGTAAAGAAGTAAAACAGTGACTACAAGCATGTTGCTGCTAAAATATCTGGGTCTAGTGGGAGCAGAAGTCGCTAGCTGATAACTACAGGGAAAACATACATGGCTATCGGCCGGTCAGTCATGAACTACGCCAGAGTCTTGCGACGAACTGGCCCCACTAAAGTTTCCTCTGCTCCGACTTCTTTTTAACAACTTGTTTATTGGATTTCCAGTTGAAAGGCTTTAACTAATTTTCGCTATTAATTAGCCGTTACAAAAAACACCAACTACACTAGATTTTCGACTAGTGCCTCTGGTAGGAGAAACGCTCTGCAGATATGAATGGTCTCGTCTTACTTATCTGTTTAGTATTAAAGAAAATAATTTATTTTCAAAATCCCTTGACACAGAAATTCTGTAATTTAGTGGTTTTAATTATTTTTTCTAGTTTCTTCCAGTCGTACTTCTCTAACTTTTTTTTCAATTTTATGCTGCTCGGGCGCCTTTTCCGTCGTATTTTATTGCTTCATTTCGTCCGGTTTGCTATATTTATTTATTTAATTTTTTTTTAATTCCTTTTACAAGCTTTCTTCGTATATGTAAGATGACTCAAATCACATCATCGTGCGGTCATCGCTTGAGTGAGCAACAAGTTTTTCAACTTAAAAAAAAACGGCGGTTTTGTTTTTTGCGAGAAAACGTCGTTGGTGTTTCTGTTAAAATTTGCTGCACGACTCTATTCGTGAGAAAGTAGAAACAGTCTGTTTTCGTTTTCATGCGATAATTTTACATTTAATTATATTTTTTTAATATTTCAAAACATTGGCTTTGGCCACGATATATCTTGCTTGTCGAAAGCTCTTAACAGAGTTTGCTATTTTGGAGCACAAAATTTCCTGGATTCGATTTTTGAGGCAATAAACCTTGTGACGTCCTCTTACGCAAGCACTTTTTAATTTATATGCGACCTCCGGATGGTTTTTTATTTGCTCTTTTACATGCATTATTGCTTGAATGATATTGGACTTCAAGAAGGACAAATAATTTTAACCAATTCAGCCATCAAATTTAGTTGTCGATAACATTTCGCCTGGTTTTAGCCGAATTTGTCAGCTCCAATATTTTTGGGTTGACCAGGGCGCTAATATTTTATGAGTGCATAAGTTCGTGCCCGATTCCGCTGGATGCCGTTCGAATCGTTTGAGAGTGGCGCTCGTGAAAGAAATATATACATATTATATATCGTTGGAAAGGTGACAGTCCGAACTGTAAATCAAGCATAAAATAACTTCATTTTGATTTGAGTTGCTTAGTGAAAAGACGCATGGAAGATGGACAACGAAAAAGATCATATGCGTCATATTATGTTATACGAATTCCGCAAAGGAAAAAGAGTAGGCGCTGCAACTAAAGATATTCGCGAAGTTTATTTGGACCGTGCTCCAGCACTTCGCACAGTGAAGAAATGGTTCGCGAAATTTCGTTCTGGAGATTTTAACCTCGAAGATCAACCTCGCAGTGGACGGCCTTCTGAGCTTGATGACGATGTTCTAAGGACTTTAGTTGCGAATAACTCACGTATTTCGACGGAAGAGGTTGCCAGTGAATTGAACGTCAACAAATCAACTGCGTTTCGTCGTTTAAAAAAGGTTGGGTACACTTTGAAGCTCGATACATGGGTGCCACATCAGTTGAGTGAAAAAAACAAAGTGGACCGTATGTCAACAGCAATTTCTTTGCTTCGACGGATCAAAAACGAACATTTTTTGGATCGGCTCGTGACTGGTGATGAAAAATGGATCCTGTACAACAATGTTCAACGCAAAAGAACATGGAAACAGGCACACGAAGGGGCGGAACCGATGTCCAAAGGTGGATTACATCCGATGAAGGTACTGCTGTGCATTTGGTGGGATATCCGAGGCGTGATCTATTTTGAGCTCTTGCCGGCTTTAGAAACGATCACTGCCAAAAAGTATTGTCAGCAATTGGTCGAATTAAAGAAAGCAATTGATGAAAAACGTCCGATTTTGGCCAATCCCAAAAGAGTTCTTTTCCATCATGACAACGCCAGGCCAGATGTTGCAAAACCGACCCTGGCCAAACTGAAGGAGATGAATTGGGAAATCATGCCGCATCCCCCATATTCACCCGACATTGCACCTTCTGATTATTATTTGTTTCGATCGCTGCAGAACAATTTGAATGGAAAAAAAATTTAAAAAAGGGGAAGACGTCAAAAACCACCTTGACACCTTTTTCAACGAGAAACCGCGCGATTTCTATGAATCAGGCATCCGTAAATTGGTTGAACGTTGGGAGTGGATTGCCGAACATGATGGCGAATACATAATTGATTAATAAAAGCGCTTTCTTCAAAAAATTTCAATTTTAGTTTGCACTTGAAATCGGGCACGAACTTATGCACTCATCCAATATCATGGCTTTTGAAGCGTTCGACGCATTTTCACCATGAACTGCCGCAGCTATTCGGTGTGCTTCAGCTGCACTTTTCTTCCAATTAAAAAAAATCAAAACTTTCCGCAAATGCTGTTTATTTAACACAAAAAGACGCGGATGCATAGTAATATTTGTTAACAGATGTGAAAGGTTTTCCTTGAAATAGGTTTTTGATTGCCATGATAGCCAAAGAAAATGATCT